TTATCACATGTTTATTATTTTTCATATTATCACATGTTTGTCTTTGTTTATATTATCTTATTATGTTAATCAATTTTCATGTTATCGCTTGTTTATCATTGTTATACTATTGTTATATTGATACTATAATAATAATACATTACATTTATAAAGCGCTTAATACAATGTTTCTAAGCGCTTAACATACAAGTAAGGTACAACATAAAATAAACATACAGCAATAATAATACATAATTCTAATAATAACATTACAGATAATTAAAACTGCCCTATAAGTTACTATTACCGGTAAACAAAAAATACTTCAAACTTGCCTTAAACGACTCTAAAGATGGGGATTGACGAATAATAATTGGTAAACTGTTCCATAATTTAGGGGCTGCAATGGCAAAAGTACGATCTCCGTAACGGGCATTGGTTCGGGGACCAGGGGCGTATTGGAAATTAGCATGTGTACTTGACCGTAATGAACGTGATGGAACAATAGGTTTGAGAAGGTCGTTTAAATATGATGGAGCATAACCATGTTTAATTTTGAATACTAACAAAAGAACCTTAAATTGAAAGCGAGTTAAAATAGGAAGCCAATGAAGAGATCTAAGAATAGGAGTTATGTGTTCATATGTTCTGGTTTTGGTAATGAGACGGACTGCCATGTTCTGAATATGTTGGAGTGGAGAAATGGTGGAATCGGGTAAGCCAAAGTACAATCCGTTACAATAATCTAAATGGGAAGTCACAAAAGCGTGGATCAATCGTTCTGTAGACTGTCTGTCCAAATATTTTCGCAGTTTACTAATCCTGGAGATACCAAAGGCAGCCGTCCGACAAGTATTCCTGATGTGTTGTTTCATATTCAGTACATTATCAACAGTGACACCGAGGTTACGAACGACTTTTGAAGGTTCGATTTCAACGCCAGCAGCAGAGGCGGCCCTCCCGGGGGCAGGGGGGGGGGGCACAATGCCCCCCACTTTTTCAGATACCCCCAAAATGCCCCTTTTTACATAGGAAAAGTGCCCCTTTTATTTTGTAAGAAGAGCCCCTTTTACATAGGAAAGGTGCCCCTTTTACTTTGACAAGTGCCCCTATTACTTAGTAAAAGTGCCCCTTTCCCCTTTTCACCTCTGACGAGTGCCCTTTTTATTTTTGACACGTGCCCCTTTTCCTTCGACATGTTCCCATTTTCCTTTGCAATAAATGTTCATTTTCCATTCTCATAAATCTTGAAATTATCTTGAATAAGTGCCCTCTTTAATCTCTAGTAAGTGCCTCTTTTCAGGTACGAGAAGTGCCCCTTTTCACTTTTAATAAGTGCCCCCTTCACCTCTGATGATTGCCCTATTCAAAACTGAGAGGTGCTCTTTTTACTTTGACAACTTCCCCTTTTTTCCTTTGTAAGAAGTGCCCCTTCTCCTTTTAATAACTACCCCTTTTTTAAACTCGGATGAGCGCACCGTTCATTTTAACATGTGCCCCTCTTATTTTCTAATAAGTGCCCCTTTTCCTTATGATAAGTGCCCCCATTAAAAAGAGAGAGAGTTCCTTCCCCTTCTCATAACTTCCCCTTTCCCTTTCTAATAAGTGCCCCTTTTCCTTATGATAAATGCCCTCATTAAAAAGAGAGAGCTCCTTCCCCTTCTCATAACTTCCCCTTCCCCTTCTCATAACTGCCCCTTTTAAACATCTGAACGGTGCCCCCTTTTCATTCAAAAAATGCACATTTTCCTTTATTATAAGTGCCCCTTTTACATTTTCATAAGTACCCCTTTTCATATCTGGTCAGTGCCCCTTTGCAACTCTGATAATTACCCTTTTAATAATGATACGTGCCCCTTTTCCTTTCTAATAAGGGACTTATTCCCTTTTCACCTCTTATAAATGACCCTATTAAAATCTGATGGGTGCCCCTTTTCCGTCAACAAATGCCTATTTCCCATTTTCGTAAACGCCTCCTTTTCATCACTGGTGAGTGCCTCTTTTCAAGTGATAAAACTCAGTGTAAATTATACCTAAAGGCAGTTTATTATTATTGAACGGTATTGAATCTTGTTTATCTTGATAAGTATTATTTACTTACCATTTTATTAAACTCTGATGATTTGAAGCTGAAAACATGGAGTAAATATGAACCGTGCCGTTACGTCAGGACTTGTCAAAATATGAAGAATCGTTTCGCCGTATCGGCAAGGGTATCATGCACTTCTGTCTTTTCCTTGAGTGTCTCCCAAAGTCGGGTTGAAGGGTATAAATGACATGCCCTTATTATACTTATTGCCTGCACCTCACGATCATCGTGGTTCTATTTTCCACATATAATATATTACGCTCCTCTGCATGCTCTTCCTTCTTATAGTAAGCCTACAAATCAATCTTTAATAGAAAATAACTCATTTTTGGGTCAATCCGTGTTCCATGGACCCTAAATATGCCACTCTGAAAACTTCCATTCTAAAATAAAGCGCTTTACCGATTGCTCTAGATAAGCTTCTCTAGTTCACATATATAAATGTAGATATTAAATATTAAGCCCCAAATATACTGTATAAAATGGCATAGGCCTACGTGAGGGTTCAGCATTTGAAAGAAATCTTACAGGCAATTAACCTTTGTTATATCAGATCAGGTTGAAGTTAATGGCCCGTATTCTGAAGTCGTGCCTAACTAAGTCGTGACTAAAGTTAAACAACTGTTTAGTTAAACAGGAGTTAGACACGACTTCAGAATACTTGCCAATAAGTTTGAAAGATAAGTCAGTGGATAATAATTATAATGATAACGATGATGATGAAGATGATGATAATAATGAAAATGATGATAATGATGATAATAATGATGATAGTATGATGATAATGATGTTCAATAATGAAGATAATAATAATAATAATGATGATGATAATGATGATGAAAGTAATGATAAGGATAATACTGAAAACATTAGTAATGATAATGATGATAGTATAGGATTTCCCGGCCAAATTCGCGAGTTTGTCATTCGAATTCATTTACTTTGCATTTAAGTTAGCGCAGATCAGCTTGGCCATGCCAATTATCATTCAATTTTCCCGATTTTGTATTTAATTTAGGATTTATGTCGAAGGATTTCATAGATCTCTCATTCAATTTAGAAACTGCTCAACTAGCATTCAAATTAATCGTCACTTGTCGAAGCGTCGTTTTTATCATTCAAATTAACACCTGTCATTCGTATTCGAATTATGTTTATTCAAGTTAGGAATGTTAGGGGGAAGAAATGCAACACACGTTTACAGCTTTAAAAAAATGCAATTAAATACATGATTTACTATTGGGGTCTTTTCTGTTGTTCAATTTATTAATTTTGAGGACAAAGCATATGTTTGTAGTCAGACATTAGGTAAAGAAGGGGCAAATCAAGGGATATGGCATCTCTGAACGGACATGTTCATATTTCCCGAAAAAGTGGGGACACGAAAACACCTACCCCAGTCACAATATTGTACCCTTCCTCCATAATGAAATTGTGATAAATTTATGATGAAACACAATACAAACAACTTCCTTACATGAAAATTTACACAAATATTGAGACATATATAAAGAGTATAAATGCAAGAAAATAAAAAAGGATGAAATACACGTGAAAAAACGATCTTGAAAGAAAAAGAATGAGCTATAAAAAGTGTTTACAAAACAAGAAATGTATATTGACCATTAATTTTAGTGCACAAAGTGCTAATTTGAATGCTACAAATGAATTACAATGCTAAAAGTACACCGTCGCGATGTCAGAAAATCGTGTTGCGCTAAATCGAATGACCAAAAAGCGAAAGAAGCAATTTGTTCATTAATTGGAATGAAACATACATAGATTCTAACGAAAACTTCATAGATTTGAAATCTAGAAAAAGGAATATAAACCCGAGATATACCCCACAGCTCTAAAACCGTCGAATTTGAACGCAAGACAAATGAATTTGTATGACAAACTCGCGAATTTGGCCGGGAAATCCTACAATATGGCCTAATAAACGAAATAAAAATAAAACAGATGTATAATATATAAATGTCAGTAGGTCTCCATAAATATCATATCCCTCTGGTTTGCTTTTTGGCAATAGGCCTACACTTTTTTTTCAGTCCTTTTTATATTGTAAGATGGGGGAAGAATTTCCAGTACCCCCCCCCCCCCCCCCCGGCCGCCCCCCATGCACCAGAGAGAGGGGGTATAGGGGTATATTCACCAGCCGGTGAATATGCGGGGGGGGGGGGTGTAAGAGCAATTTTTTTGCCCAATACGTGAGAAAATATTTAGCAGTAAATCAGGGGGAGGGGCGCCTTACTTTTTTGTTTAAAAAAGGTACAATCTACGTGGCCTAACCATTTCAACTTTGTATAGGCTTATTGAATTTCACCGAGAAGTGCCCCCCCCCCCCCCCCCCCCCCCCCCCCTGGATTTGCCACTCGGGGCCAGGGCTGCCTATAATATAAGCCCCCGCCCCCTTTTGCCGCCTCCGCCGGGCCCTTCAGAATTGCTTTCATAGCTGCCATATTACTATTTTATTTCAATAATTAATAGGGTATATTTTCAAAGAGATTTTGAATCAATTAAATAATATGTCTGATATCAATTATCTTAGGACAAATAAAGCTGTTTTGCTGTGGGTGGGGAAAAGTATTTTATTTCAATCGATAATAATGTATAATGTTTTTGTCTTTATAGAGTGTTTTGAGTTTTCAAGCAAAAGCCTAAGCTTGACTGTTTTTACATGCATTTTGTGTTTTATTTATGATATTCAAATAAGAATTATGAGACAAACTAAAAAATCTATAATAACGAAAATGTATTTCCTCCTATTATGTCACACGTACAAAGCGAACGAATGTGCAAACCACTTCCGTATTTTTTCGCTGCTGCCATAACTTTGAGAGTGTCGCGTCTCGAAATAGGAAATGAAAGGTGGTTTTGAAGACCAACGAATAGCCGGTGATTATTTTTTTCTGTACACATTTTCAATGTGAATACAACGCCCATTTGTTAGCATACAACCAGTGCGGAAGCGGCCAACTCAAAGAGTCAGAGGAAAGGTTTCTGGTGTAAAGATTGTAAAATCAAAGTAAAATGGCGGGTAGATTTGTGAGAGAAAGCAAGCTCCGAAATGTATTTGGGCAGATGTTCAAGAAGGACCAGTTTTTCGAGTCGATTCGGGTATCGAAAAATAGTAATACGCAGATGTTCTGCGCCGTCAACCCGAAGTTTATGGCAGTGGTGACCCATGCGGCAGGCGGAGGCTCTTTCCTCGTACTTCCGCACAACAAGGTATGATTATGGATGCATAACTACAGTCTAGGTCTGTCTGAGCTGTGTGCCACTGCATCCGCATTGACTGAGAAAATTGACAGTGATGCTAAATGTAATTTCATAGCATTGTATTTATGTTCAAAAGTACGAAAGATTTAAGGAGAATTGGGCGCTAGTGTAGTTCCGTATCCATTTTTTTTTAGCAGTTTAATAATTAATATCCATTCTTAGCAAAGGAATTTTAGCCCAATTGTTTACTAATTTTAATCATAATCATTTATTGCGTTTTTCACCTGAATTTGGATCACATCCGACATCGGGAAACCTCTGTTTAGGGCTTCGATGTCGACGTCGTCGCTCAGTTCCGTCTCTACGCTATAGTCCTGCACCTCAAACTGAAGCTATCAGTACAAAATTATTACTAGGGTGTCTGAACGATTTTTCAATTTTCAATTTGGGATCGTTTTTCACCATTTTTGTTTGATATTTGAATTAAAAATGTAATCAGAATAATACATTTCAAATTTCAAGTCTCACCGATGTTTCTATCAAAAGTTACAGCCCCTCCAAAACGCTGGTATATTCATATCATTTTGGTCAAAATCGACGAAAAAGACGTCCATGCAGAGTAATGTTGTTTTGCTAAATTTAGCCAAACAGCTGTATCGCGCGATATGCAAGCGTATGCATATCGTACGCATGCTGCTAAGCCAATCCGCGACTTGCAGCTTGAGCTACGCTGTCTCCGCGACATGTGCCATTGACTAGTATGGTTGGCGTTCGTCGCACAATAAACCCGGAAGTGAATGCACGTTATAGTCAATGGCAATATCGCGGAGACAACTCTCCGCGATATTGCCATTGACTACAACGTGTATTCACTTCCGGGTTCTATGGCGGGAACAGCCACCCATACTTTCATTCACTATAAGCGCACATGTTACGCGATGTAACCATGGTTTGGACTGAGCGGAGCTCACGCCTCCCTAATTAGCTGATTCCAAAAATGTGGGAAGGGTATTTTCAAACTGTTATAACAAATGATCCCTTGGGGCTAGCGAAAAAAAAAGCATCTGGATATTATCCTTACGTCTAGCCCTGCTTAAGCCGCGGGGCGGCAGCTCAGGAAAGTGGCAAATTTTGGAGCTAGGATGCAAACAACATTTCAATCGCTGTTTTGACCAAGATATTTTTAGAATTCTGGGGGTGGCCCCCGATGGGGAATATGGAGAAAAACCTGCTCTTTCATATGACACCTCATTTATTGAGTTTCACCTTCAGGATCATTTGTTATAAAGGTTTGAATTTCAAATTTTTTCATAAAATCATTGACCAATTTTGGATGGTCGCGCAATGCACGTAGACCACATAGGGAAGCGTACAATCTCTATGGGAAGGGTTTTAGCACACAACATTGGGTGCGCGATCAGACACCCTATTATTACAGACTTCTCGTATGCGGGATATCATAAACCATACAAGAAGTCTGCATAATTTTGTACTGATAGCTTCAGTTTGAGGTGCAGGACTATAGAGTAGAGAGGGTACTGAGCGACGACGTCGACATCGAAGCCCTAAACAGAGGTTTCCCGATGTCGGATGTGATCCAAATTCAGGTGGAAAATGCAATATATGATTATGATTATGATTAAAATTAGTACAAAATTGGGCTAAAATTAGTTTGCTAAGAATGGATATTAAACTGCTAAAAAAAAAATGGATACGGAACTACACTAGCGCCGAGAATTGTTAGTCCAGATCTAGTAGAACGTAAGATTACAACTCAGTTTCAATATCATGTTCTGCTTGAAAGTCTACTGATGTATGTTGATGCTGCATCCTTGACAAGAAGCTGTGAATTTCATGTTTCAAATTTTCAATCATGAATATATCTGTTTTCTGCAGCTGCGGTCAGGATTCATTGTATAATGAAATTGTTGGACTTAGAGAATATTGTCTTTGTATCTTATTCTTATTTGTATTTCTCTCTGACTCTGAGTAATGAAAGCCACTTGCACAGATGACTGCAATTTTTTGTGTCTAGAACAGATCTTAGAGTTCCAGCATGTCCGATAATATTGGCAGAGCCTAAGAGTGGCTGTACATGTAATGTCTCAATTTTAGCCAATTCAAGTCTTACAAAACTAAGCTAGGCCCATCTCATGAGTGAATAATCAGAAATTTCAGGGGGACAAAGGAGACTTGGCCTTTTATAATGAAGAAGATTTACTGCTACTGTAGAATATAAACATCGACACCAAGTGAGCCAGTCAGCAGGATTTTAAAAAAATAATTAAAAAAATGTTTAAAAAAATAGAATCCCTTACATATATAGAGCTTCAATAGTTCATTTTGGCAGTTGAACAAATGCGTAAGTTTGTACACTAGGATGTTTACCATTAACGCTTGATTAATTTTGTTTGCTCATCGTTGTAAGGATGACTCAATATAAACATGTAAGCCAGATCACTTCACAAGTATGCAACATCTCAGAAGAGATCTCTTATTTCATAGTTAAAGATAAAGTTGACTAGTTGAGTACCTGTGGTCATGCGTTTGTATGCCGCCCCCCCCCCTTGTCTTTCATCTTTAGTACACTTTGAAGGAAAAAAAAAAGGAAAATTTTTGTGATGCCCCCCCCCCCCTCCCAATTTACCGAACATTTATTGAAAATTTTGTGCTTTTCTCTGTCAATGAATACCTTGTTAACCTTTCTTCTGAATAATGAAACCTATTTAATTAGATAAAGAGGAAAGAAAATAATATTAGTAATTTCATTCATTAGAATAACAAATCTGTGAATAATTTATCTAACGTTTTAACAAGTTTGATCCCAATACTGCTGTTTACATAGTAATGAAGGAAGAGGAACATTAGTATTGGTTGTAAGGCTGTTGAGAGGTCCTGCATTCAATCATTCCTCTTAAAAAGCTAACATCCTTGGACAAGATGTTTCACTTACATTTGTTCCTCTTCACCCAGGTGATGCATTGTTTATAATAGTTTCTAGATCCTGAGACTATTTTGTTCCATTAAAAAAAAAAAAAAATTGTGATATGGTAATTATTATTGCATTATAGAAAGATATTCTTTCAAGATTCATTCTTTCCAAATATTTTTCTCTTCACATCAGTCTTCAAGTTGATAGGTCATGTGAAGGTTCATTCCAGCCCAGATGGTATTTGCATTGATGTCCGGGTAAAATAATTGTCATCCGTACTTCGTGGCTAGTGGTTAGTGAATCAGTGTGGTTAACTGAAAGGCCCAATCCACACTAATTTTTTTTTTTTTTTTTTTTTTAATGTCTGGGTGAGGTTTCATGATTAGGATATTATTGTTTATTTATGCTTATCTAACCCTAATTCTTAAGTCCTATCCTAACTGGAAATGTATATTACAACCTAACTGCACTGACAGTCTCTCATCTTCACCCTAGCACTACATGTACATGTACACTGTATAACACTGACAGAAAAATCAAAAATGTTGTCACCCAAGAAAATCTTGGAGAGCCTCCCCGAGACCCCATCACAGTAGCCTTCACTGTAGCCTTCACTGTTACTCCTTTATTCAGGGCAGTTCCACTAATTTAGTGTGTCTTATTTTCAAAATGTGAATGGGGTCTGTATGGATTACCCAGAACACCATGCCTGCCATGTACCCGGGCATTAGATCCTTGCTGCCACCTGTGAATCATGGGCTCATGGCAGACGACAACATGCCAAAATCTATGATGCGAATACCACTTGAATGTGAGTTGACGCCGATGTCTCATGTCTGTGACATGAATGTCATAGGTCACAGAGACGAGTTCTGATTTTTAAATCGGCCGTATTTCAATTGTTGAACGAAGTAGGGTAGAGGTTGCAAAATACCCGCTTTTATTCAGACTTTACATCAAAACAGTGGTTCAACTTAAAAAAGTTTTGTTGTTTTTCTCTTTGATTTTTTCCTGAGCTCCAAATATTTCCATTACTTTCAGCCTGTCTCAACTACTTAACACTTTTTGCCGCACATCATTTGTGCTCCTTCCATTCATCATTGTGTTAGGGGCTTCTCACTTTGATGCCTTTGTCACTGAATGCTTCACACATCACAGGTGGATTCAGTCTGACTGTTTATTGATTCTTCTACAATGATAAAATAATTGTAGATAAACAAATCTGAGATCTGCAGGACAAGCCCATTTAATGTTTTGAACACTAAAGACTCATTTTTATTTACGATACAAAGAATTCAATTGAAAAACTTCAGAGTAACACTACACTGTAGACATGCAATCACATGCAATCAAATTTAATGATGATGTTGTTGTACATGTTTTGCAAATCTACCAATCTAGGAATGCGTGTATTTGGGTAATGGATCAATTACCAAGTAACTATCATTATCTAGACTAGTAAGTAGGGTGGTAAAAGTTAAACACAGTCTTGTCCATACGGTTACATAAACACACACACACACATGTACATTGATATACACAAATGCAATTGTGAAAACAAGGAAGTGCAGTTGCATGGACCTGGGCTGGGACTTTGCCTTTTATGGATATCCAAGTGTGTATAATGACTTTTGAATAATCTATTTCCTTCTAATCTGCTGTACTTGAAAAAATATATAGAATTATTATTTAGTCTTAATTTCCAGGCCTATTTTTAGTATTTTGTTCTGGGTAGAGAAGTTTTGTTTGTTTCTTTCTTTCTTTGAAAATAACTTGACCACACAAACCAAACTGACATTAAGAAATAAATATTTACTAAACTGTATTAAAGCACACAACTTGTTTGGCTCTGTCCAAGTATTGAAGTATTGACAGTGAAGTCTAGCAAGTAAACGGGTTTCCTTGCATAATTTGAATATGAGGACACTGCTAACGTTTAAAATTCACAGATAGGACATAGATCTAGACTACATGACATATTCATAATTCCTGCAAAGTTCTACAGCATTTGAGGTTGGGTGCAAAAGGGACATAGTACCTTTAAGCTGGACAGTTGTGCATTTCTCGTAGGAGCACCTCTAACCAAACTATTTGATTACTAGTAGTCTAGGTACATGTACATGTACATGTAAGCACTATGAAGTAGATTTGTGCAAGATTGAGAAGTATATCAGCCGCTATTTCTACAATGTCGGTTGCCTTCGGAGGGATGAAATCGTGCAAATTGGGTGGAGCCTAATCCAATTTGCATATCCATTGTTTCTTCACACTGTATGCATTGAATCTTCAATTTTTTGTGAAAAACTAATAGGGATCTTTGAATATTATTTAAACTGAGGGGATCATTGCAATGTAATTAGTGCAAAACAAATACTTTTAAAGCTAATACAATCAGTGCTAACCCGAAAGTGGGAGGATAATTGGATGGCATTGATTCACAGGCTGTGTGAAACTCAAATGAGGAAGAGGAACTAAAGTCTACATGGGGGGTACCTACCTACAATATTACTGTATTACATGCAACCAACAACAAATAACAGAAATGTACTGGTAGAGCATGGAGTAATCTGATGAGGCCAAACTTGGCCAGACCTAGTCTTCGTTGTAATCAACAATCTACCTACCAGTGGAAAACAATATGGGGACGTGGATGAAGGGAGGGGGGGGGGGCAGCTCTAGTGTAGTTGGCTCTGGAGTGGTAAAAAGAGTTCCTGGAAAGACAGTAAAGGAGGTTTGTCAAATACTATATGTCTTTGAAAACATAATGTATAATTATGCCTAAGGCTGAGCACAACAGTGTAATGAGGTACCCGAGTACACTCCCATGCTTACAAGCGAATACTCGAGTACGTTTTTTTTTTTTTTTTTTTTTGAATTTTTTTGAATTTTTTTGAATTTTTTTTTTTTTTTTTTTTTTTTTTTTTTTTTTTTTTTGCCACCACCATACATACCACTGGAGCAGTATCCCAGTTCTGTCGCCGAAAAGGCACGTAATTTTACTTTGAGTTGCAGTTGAAGGCGCCGATTTAATAATAATAATAACAGTGAAAACAATGCTGTTTTAAAAACCAAAGATGGCAGAATAATCCATTTTCCTCCAAGTCCAAGCAGAAATCCAGACATTTGGTCCCAGTTTCTGAGTGGTGAGTTTGACAGTGCTTGAGTTGGGAAACATTTTTACCGACGGCACCATGCCAGCGGCTGCCGCTCACCCAGGCACGGGTAAGCGTCGGCCTGGACATTTTTTTTTTTTTGCGGCCGAATATTCGGGTACGAGAAATCGTACCCGAGTAGTTGTCAACCGTGCGGGTACTCGAGCATTCGACTACCCTTCACAGCCTTAATTATGCCTCTGCCCAGCACAGAGCTATGAGTTTTTAGTCTTCTACATGAATCACAGTCTCATAAACCATTGATGGATATAAATCAACCAGTAAACAACATCAGAGGGAGGTACATGTAAATTAGGAATTGTAAATTGTAAAGTAAGCTGAGTTTGGAGACGGGTTATTTGATAAATAATTGTAAAAATACCAGTTTTGGAAATTATGATTTATAAAATATATATATGTTCTAGAAATTGGTATATAAAAAAATGAATTAACTGAACGGAGGCAGAGGCATAGAGATGCCAACTGTTCTGTTTTTGCCATATTTGTTCCGTTTTTTCGCTATGAATACGGCAGTATGTTTTTTGTATGTTTTGTTATGTTTTTTTAATTTAAAATTTTTTTTTTTTTAGTGACGTTTTTCTTAATTTCTGATCATGGGCTTTGTGTCGTAAGTGTATTATGCACGTACGTCTTCAAACGATGCACGCAAGATGGTGATACGGGCCCCAAACTGCGCACATTGCGAACAACCCACGTGTAATGTATGCACGTCGCGTTCCGATCCGGGTACGTACATGTATATGTGGTACTGCCATTTTTTTAAGCTGCTCGATTGGGCGATATGCTAATTAGGTGAGAGATTTTTTCAAAAATACTGTTTTTTGCTCTTAACTCGTTGACTACTGAATTGTCTGGGTCCCATAGGCTTAACACAGGGACCACCAGGTTCCCGTAAGTGAAGGGTTAAGAATACTTTTTTTTTGTTGAAGAAGGTTGGCATCTCTGCATATATATTTGAGACGCAGTCACATTTATCTTATTTTTAAGAAAATGTAATATGCTATTGCTATATTTCACTATGCTTGTAGTTGTATAAGACCCGTCTGTCTGTAATAGAGGTACCTTTAATACAAATTAAAGATAAACTTGAGTTCTGGTAAAAAAAGAAAATGAATTCTCACAGAATGTAACGAAACTTACACTGAATGTTCAAGATTACAAATAAATGTCATGTGCCAAACAATTTTGGAAGAAAATGTATACTGGCTGAGTAATAAGCATAGAAAGATAAGGAAATCAGGGTAGTGCTAGCCCCAACACCATGTGTGTTGTCCCATATACATCATTCTGTGTCAGTGATTGTAACTTTACCAAGACTCTGCCAAATTTATGATGATTTTGATGACTCCAGAACCTTGCATTACACACCATTACTTACATGCTATATGATCGACTTTTCTGATCCATTCCATACCTTTTCTTTCACAATGCAATCGCATTACCAGAACTCAAGTTTAGCTTTAAGGATGAACTCTTTTTTTTTCTCCTCTCCATTGTCACAGACTGGCCGTCTAGACATCAATCAAGCCCAGATCGTAGGTCACAAGGCACCGGTCATCGACATTGCATGGTCTCCTTTCGAAGACGACATGATCGCCAGCTGCGATGAGAATGGCGTCATCATGATCTGGAAAATCCCGGAAGAAGGGGTCACGTCCCCAATGGAAGAACCTCTTGTTATGCAGGATCTCCATCAGAAGCGCTGCTCCCTGATCAAGTGGCATCCCTTGGCAAAAAACGTTATCCTCAGTTGTGGTGAGTTACACATTCATCCTGTGTACAGATGTCCAGAAGGGTGCTTCACAAAGACTAAGATCGACTTTGAGTTGGACTTAACTATGGCAGGCAGTTCATGCGACTGTTTGCTCTCACCAATTACAGGCATTGGTCTCTGAAGGGACGTACAAATCGTGGTCACAAATCTACAGAACTCACCTCATTTGATAGTTCATTATTGAAGGAAAAAATCTAAAGATCATATTTAAGAGACCAATGATGAGAGCAACCAGTGGCATGAATGGCCTGCCATGTACATGTAAATGGCGACTGGCGACAGTGGTGACTGTATTTGCTAAAAACAGATTGAACCCCATGACCACCAAGCTCTTATCGACATACTGGCAAATGTTGCACATTCAAAACAATTATGTGTACAGTCGAACCTGTATAGACACCTGTACAGAAAGACTGTGTTTTTTGTTCCCCATGAATATTGTGTCTCATTGAAGGGTGTATCATTTCAAAGCAACCTGTACATGCAAACCACTTACCTATAGGGACTGTGTTTCTTGTGTCTCTGCTTTATACACATATCGTGGTGTAGTTTTTTATATTTTTCTTATGGATAATGCGTTATACCATCACTCAATTTGGGTTTTACTCATTCAAAATTACTTTCCAAATCATTCTTTACATGATTTTCAAGTTAAACTTCATTCTTATACGTTGATGTCAGTTGATATATGATTATTGGTCCTGTGAAGTCCCACGTACCTAATAATAATGTTTAAATATGATTGTTTTTTTAATGTTATTTTCTTGTGTATTTAAAATGCCTATTTATACAATTTCATTGTACAAAGTATATATACCTATATTGTGAACCATTTTTATGCTTGTCTTTGTATTTTGTGAAATCCAACTCATGGTTGCAATAAATAAATGAATTATATATAATTACTGTTAGACTTTATTACACTAATAAAAAACCTGCACCTGCTCTCCCTCCCTCCCCCGACCTCAGGTGTGGACTTGAAGATCGTAGTATGGAATATGGACGAGGGCACGGCAGAGGTGGAGATAGACTGTCCAGATATTGTACAGGACATGTGTTGGAGCCCTGACGGAAAGACCTTTGCTACGGGCAGCAAGGACAAGAAGATTCGTGTCTATGAAGGAAGATCTGGCAAGTTATTACAGGTAATTATAGCAGCCATGCAGGACACAGTAAACTTCCCCCCTAAAACTAAAACATAAACAAAGAAAATGCCATCCCATTTTATATGTAAATAAATGGCAAGTGGATGTGCCATCATATTCATATTGCTGTTACATGTTTAAACCCCTTTTGGACCACCCTACATGCACCTCTTAATGAAGGACACCTGTCTAGAATAGTCACTAACACATATGGGGCTTGTTTCATAAAGATCCTAAGTTGGACTTAACAATTATGGAAAGCCTTTAGCATCTCTGAAAATATTTTGTAAAAGTTATTTTAAAAGGCATAAAATGTTGATTCAGATCATTCATATTTTTATTATCAAGGATGTTTCATGTTCTTGATGTGGAATTTATATAAAGTTTAAAATACTTGAATTTTCGCTTTTGAATAAATTTTATATTTTAAGGCTACAAATAGCTCTCCATAATTTGTAAGTCCAACTCAGAGCTGCCAAGTAGTATGTTTTAACATATTAATACGTTTTTTTGGGGGAAAATACGTCTGTACGTTTTGCTGTGCCAAAATACGTTTTTTGAAAGTTTCGTGTATGGCTGTGCGAACGTGGCTAGTGGCTGGCTGTGAGATCCAGCGTATGCATAGTTTTGCTATTGCTTTGTGTCGGCAATTCCTGCAGCGCGCACGCATGTACATTGCACACAATACAGTGTGTCCCGAAAAAAACTATACACTTTTGAAATGGCTGCCGAATAACAAATATATGATTCTAGGGGGAAAAGTTTTATATGCATGGAAAGCTCATAAACTCAACTTTCATATGACACCAACAAGTTTGAAAATAATTCATGCTTGGGTGAGCACTGCTCACTTTTGTAAAGGGTATGAAAATTAAGTTGCGCAGGAATTAGCCTTCCAATGTGTGAGAGGTAAATCCTTTGGAGCTTACAACATTGAGGGTAATATGATAAATTCATGATTTGCTGAGTGAATTTCATGGTTTATTAAACCAAACTTTTATGCACGGAACAGGAATTTCATTTTTCTATTGTAGCATTGTTACTTTCCCTGGTAGACTCAGTGGTGTGTTCATGAGAGTCAGGATGGGGTGATGGTACATGTTGTAATTTCCATGTTACAAACTGTTTTTTTTTACATTTGTGACTTTGAATACAAACCTTCACCCCACATTTCAGTTACCATTTACCTGAAGAATAAGTAGCCGACATCTTGGACATTCCTTTTTTAAACAAACCGTATTTGAATATTCGGTTTACATTATCCCTACCTGGGTATTGAGTAAATCAAAGAGATGTTCAACTAATCTTACAATAAATGAAATGTGGGGTGAAGGTTTTTATTCAAAGTCACAGATGTAAGAGAATAACAGTTTTTAATATGGAAATTACAACATGTACCATTACCCCATCCTGACTCCCATGAACGCACCACTGAGTCTACCAGGGAAGTTACAGTGCTACAATAAAAAATGCAATTCCTGTTCACTCATGCATAAAATGTTAATCCCATAAACCAAACATTTCACTCAGCAAACCCAAACTTATCACAATTGATCATAAATTGGTCATATCATCCTCAGTTCCGTAAGCTCCAAAGGATTTACCTCTCACAAATTGGAAGGCTAATTCCTGCGCAACATAATTTTCATACGCTTTACAAAAGTGAGCAATGCTCACCTGAGCATAAATTATTTTCGCAATTTTTGGTGTCATATGAAAGTTGAGTATATGAGCTTTCCATACATATATAATTTTTCCCCTAGAATTATATATTTGTTATTCGGCAGCCATTTCAAAAGTGTATAGTTTTTTTCGGGACACACTGTACAGGGGATGTACACCACTCAAAGATGAGCGCATTTCCCCAGGCCATCCATACACACGCTAATGACATAATTATCATCAGTGCACTGCAATACACACACAGTGTCAGTACAAAAAAGTCCCGATCTTACTACCAAAAATCCATCCCAAAAGCCAAATTTTGCTGTCAAAAATGCGGAATCGAAGCCATATTTCTAAAGCTCACGGGGGCTTAGCCCAGTTTTAAGAAACAGCTTCACCAAAAAAGCGCTAAAAATCAAGAAATCAGCGATTTTGTTACCAATTTTTTTGCCTATCGCAAGCCCTTCGAATGTGATGGTATCTTCAAAAAGCCAAATGAAAAATAAACACGGACCTGCTGATGCACTGACTTTATGTACAAAGTTGATTGCAACTCTAGACTTGCCTTGTGCCGCAACTTAGGCATAGAACATCATCGTGTGATGCGCCGCAACACACGATGATTCTTTTAGTTTTAAATAATGGACTTTTCTGATAAAATGGCTAAATATATTTAACAAATCTTTTTTTTTTTTTTAAATCATTTTTTTAATGATTTTTTTTTTTTTCAACTGACAGGTCGGCAGCTCTCAATGATTGAGAGCGTTTTTATTCAAAGAAACATGATTGCAGTAGCATTTTATAGGGAAAATAACAAAAAACGTAAAACAGGCAAAATATGGTTTTTCACCTAAAAATATGTTTTTTCAAGCTGAATAATATGTTTTTTTAATGTGACAGGTTGGCAGCTCTGCCAACTGAGGATTAAGTTTGACTTAGGATCTTTGTGAAACACCCCCATGGTCTCTCTCAAGGAAGATAGATGTGTGCTGGTTGTAGATAGACCACCTGCATACAGTAGAAATGTTATCTGTTCCCATAATAGGTGGCTTAGAAAGGTGTAACTGTTTTATATCTATTTATTTATCTATTCATGGTATGATACAAATCGTGGTAAGCAGCCAATTGCTGAATTGTTCACATTTAACAAGCAAATTTAAAAATACATAGAACACAATATTACACATGGTAAAATTATTCAGACACCACGATCAATAAATGATAATCAGGGTGCATAGCCCATCGTAGTTGAAATGATTCAAGAAATATAAAAAATTGAACAAACGTCATAATTCATCAAACATAATTCCATGATAGAAGTAACTACATTTAAGATCAGTCATTATGGTAATAACAGTATTGTTAATTCACTTTATTGAAGGTTACGGAAGTTTGTTCAGGAGTTAAAAGAATAGCCTAAAACAAGAAAATAAAAAAAATTAAAAAACATTTTCTTTAGCTAAGGCTTAGAGGCCCATTAGTATTTGACTATGTACAGTAACTGTATGTAATATGACCTAAGAATTGGATTGAACTGTATAATCTTTGACAGGTTTATAAATGTGTAATGTCGTTATAGGTTTGACTGTATAACTTTAAAAAAAACAGACTTGACTGTATAATCTATCTTTATTTCTTATGTGTCAGGAATTGCCGGGTCACGCATCTCCACGTGAAATGCGCATCATGATATTGAAGGACGACAGACTACTTTCAACGGGTTTCACCAAGGAAAGCAGGAGAGAATACAGGATCTGGGATCTTGTAAGTGCTCAAATTTCAAAGAACTTAGAAAATGTTGTTAAAAAGGAAAAATGGACAATAGACTTGTTTACTAATATATTTAAATTTTGATATGCATTTTGTTCTGCTGAATCTCTGGTTAATAACTATCTTACTCTATGCTATGCATAATAGGTCTATATAGATGGAATCCACTTTGCATACATTAGCTGTTGCTATGTCTGGCAAGCCTTTGGAAAGCTTCTGTGGTGTCAAGAGAAACAGCTGTTCAAGAAGTAAACCGGTCTGTTCAGAGATATTGTGTTCTAATTAGTATTACTCTACAGTTTTTGGATGCTCTCATACAATTATGTATTTCTGCATTAGTTATCTGTTATATTATTTTAGCTTTTCTCATTTTTTTTATTTTTTTTAAATTAGCTCAGTAGGGTTATTACATGAGTTCTATGTAGGAGCAGTCAGCTCTAACTGTTCTATATATTCCAGAATCTATGTCATTGGTGTATATTTTTTGTGTACAATGTAAAATTCTACTTTCAACACGCTCCCAGTAAAACATAAAAAGGACTTGTTGAGCAGACACGTCGATGCATGCGAAGGTGCTCGCATAGCATAGGGTGCGCATGGAAAAAAGTCAAACTTGGGATCTGTGCGTTGCATTTTATGTTATCCTCTATTTCGTCCATAATCCTTCATCGTTAAAGGTAAAGACCCGTTTTGGAAACGCCCCCCCTCTCAAAAAATGAAATGGAAGCTCTTATTACCAATCATGTGAAAGAAAATGTTTTGACTAATACTTGATGATACAAATTTTGCTGAAAAACTGCCTACTAATTGATATATTTGGTAAATTATTATATCTATTTGGACCTGATAGATATCGCGCACGTGTCGCATAGTCCCATATACATCTTTCTGTGTACAGTGCTTGTTACTTTACCAAGATTGGGCCAATTTATTATGATTTGATGACTCCAGAATCTTGCAGTACACACCAATACTTACATGCTACATGATCAACTTTTTCTGATCCATTCCACACCTTTTCTTTCACAATGCAATTGCATGACCAGAACTCACCTTTATCTTTAACCTATAGAATGCCAGGTAGAGTCCTGTTAGGATGATTTGATACATCCTAGCTGTACACAAATTATTCTTTCATATGATGGAATGAACTAGACTTGTATTTAGAAGACTCTTAGTTGATCAAGTTCTTTTTCTTCCTATCCATTTTAGAAAGATACCAGTGACAGCTTATATGAAGACTCGTTAGACCAAACCAGTGCTCCCCTCAATATCTTATATGACCCTGACATCAACATCGTCTATCTCGTTGGAAAGGTGAGTGGCAGGTCCTTTACTTCTTACGCCATACTAGTTTGGAATCCATTCAGTCTGGAGCCTGTATACAGAGATGCCAACCAGTACGATTAAATCATAGTTAGTACGATAATAAGAGTGAAATATGATAATACGATATCACCTCTTATAATACAATTTTCATCTTTAAAAAAATTATTTTAAAACAATTAAAAAAAATTAAACCCATAAAAACAGCGAAACGCATAGAAACATTTACAAGTAAATCCCCGCAACCCCATCAAAAACTTTGCTTTACAATTTTCTCATTAAATTTTAATAAAAGAGCAAAAAGTTTACTTGACTTTACTTACAAGTAAAACATTTTTCTGAAATTTTACTGGCCCGGGGTCAGTGGAAGCGTTGAATTTTTGTGAAAATCTGATTTTTTAGGATACTCAGTCTGTTTTTTTTTTGTGTCAAGAGGTTGGCATCTCTGTGTATAGTTTGGAAGGCAGTCAGGGGACAGTCAGGAGGGAGCCCATGTAGTTTAAAAATAGTAGCCATAGATCTTTAGCTGTGGCTACTGGCAGCTCAGTTATACCAAAGTCTGGTATACTGGCACTAGAAAAGAGGTTGTGCTTTACAGACCTAATTAGATCTAATGGTAACTGAGTCACCAGATTGTTATAGAAATTAAACTTGTACACAATTTGGTATTCATGTAACGCTTGGTAAATAGTTACAACTAACATTGCACCTTATTGTATCTACCCTAAATATGCATATTCATAAAGCACCAGTGCTGGACGGTGCATGTTTCAAGTTAGCGCTGCGTAGTAAAAGTGGCTTGACTTTTCAATACATGCAAAGATATATAGGACATGACAGTGTTTTAAGATCCCTGGTGTTATGAACACTGCAAGGGCAACTAGCTATATGAATGGGCAGAGCCTGTGTACGCCACATCCGGTCCAACCCCACCCCCCCCCCCCCCCCAACCCACCCCTTCCAGACTTGGCCAGATTCAAACTAGGGTTTAACTAAACTTGTCTATCAGAATACCAAAGGAGACTTAAACCACACTTAGACTCAGGGTGAGGTTTAAGTGTAGTTAATTAATCAAGGAATTACTTTAGTCTAGAGTAAATTTCAACCAGGCTTTCAGAATACCAGCCAGCCATGAAGTCAAGAAACCACCCAATCAGAAATTACTCTTTCTGAATCTGCGAACCTACTCGGTTTGAAAGCCATTTACATGAAGTTTGAAAAGCATAATCTGGACCCCATTTAGCCTGAAGTTCCATACTCTGGATCCATCTGTCTGTCTGTTTGGAGCCAGAAGGGTGTTAACTCACACCTCATTGCGGGCAGTTAACACCCTTCTTGCTCCAAATAGACCATGTAGCCTTTGCACGATACCTGTCATGTACGGGCTTGCTCCAAATAGACCATGTAGCCTTTGCACGATACCTGTCATGTACGGGCTTGCTCCAAATAGACCGTGTAGCCTTTGCACGATACCTGTCATGTACGGGCTTGCTCCAAATAGACCATGTAGCCTTTGCACGATACCTGTCATGAACAGCCTAAGCAAATTTTCTTTTGTTATTATCTGTTCATCTAGGGAGACTGTGTAATCAGGTACTACGAAGTGAACGATGAGGAGCCCCACTTTCACTACCTCAGCACGTATCAATCCTCCAGTCCCCAGAGAGGAATGGGATTCATGCCCAAGAGAGGATTGAATGTGAATGCCTGTGAGATTGCTAGGATGTACAAGGTGACCCTCTCTAGTGGTGGAGCCATTGGAGCTGTCGAACCTCTCTCCATGATCATCCCAAGGAAGGTAAGCAGTGGACTGTTTTACCACACATGGGGGGGGGGGATGTTTCAGAAAGATCCTAAGTTGAACTTAACTCTAAGTTGGACTTAACAATTATGGAAAGCCGTTAGCATTGACAAAAATATTTTGTAAAAGATATTTTAAAAGGCATAAAATGTTGATTCAAATCATTCATGTTTTCTATTATCAAGGAGATTTTATGTTCTTGATGTGGAATTTATGAAAAGTCAAAAATACTTGAATTTTTGCTTTTGAATATATTTTACTTTAAGACTACAGATGGCTCTGCATAATTTTGAAGTCCAACTTAGAGTTAATTTTGACTTAGGATCTTTGTGAAACACCCCCCTGCTTTGCAGACAAACACTATGCTCTCCATTTCCTGTACTAACCAGGGCATCGTGTCAAGAAGACGTCATGTGCAATTTCACTAACCTCCTATTGAAACGTGTGTATTGTAACTCGAATAGTATAGAGTATATTCATATAGTAGCTGCGCTATATAAATGGACCTATCATTATTATTATTGTAATTAACACACATGTTAATGGGATGTCGGTGAATTTGTTCTCATGACGGTTCTGTGAAACAATGCCCATGTTCCTATCTTCAACCATGACATGAACCAATCATTATACCTAATCCTAACCCTAACCTGATTCTAAATTTCAGTTGCGATTGTAACCCTAGCCCTATATTTTTGACAAATATAGCCTGGAGTAAATGTTGAAGGAACTAATGTCTGGAAACCCATTGGAGAAAGGTCCTGAATGGTTAGAATGCCGTCAAATTAAAATCCACCAAATTGCCAATTTGAACGTGAAAACGGTAATGGTAAATTGAAAGATCATGAATCCGCATAAAATCTGTCGCAACAAAAATGGATACCAATTTTTTAGTGATTTTTATCTTTCTTCTCATACATTATATTTGAAAAAAAAGAGTCAATTCAATGTAAGACTGTACCCTCAAATGTTAAATATGGCAAACATGCTACATTTCTACAACTGTTGATATATATTAGATATATTAGACAGGATCTTGAATGTAGCCAAATGATACCAAGTGACCGTGCATCAATTTATCTACAATGCCTATTAATAATTCAAAAGCCGTTCTTGTCACAAAGTGAAAATGACAGGCTAAAATTGTTACTTAACCTGCATGCAGTACATATTCCCAAAATGCACTCACAGACATGAATTATTCTTAGATGATTTTTATTTGTCTTTGTTCGTGACAGAGTGAGCTGTACCAGGCTGATATCTACCCTGACACGTTAGCCAATGAACCCGCCGTCTCCGCCTCAGAATGGTTCTCAGGTACGGATGGCAAAGCCAAGTACATGAGCATGCAGCAGTTCTTTGTAGAAAAGGACACATCCTCTGGCAAGGGCGGCCTCAAGAAGGGTGGACTCAAAAAGACGACAACGGCGGCAGCAGCGCCAGCGGCTAGTGCTCCAGCAGCCAGTGCTCCAGCTACCGTGAGCTCAGCGAAAGCACCTGTATCCAAGTTTACGCCTTCCAATCATTCTAATGTAAGTCTGTCCTGAAGAACATATATCACTCTCTGTTATAAATTTGTGTAGATATTAATCAAAATTTTAATATAATGACAAGTCCAAGGTATTTGTAATTTTGTGCCCATATTGTTTTCAAGTATGATGGTGTTATGTTCATAAATTGACACCTAAAGCAATACTTTACTAGAAGCAATACCACAAAATCCCCTCTAGTGCCATCTCGGGTCAGCTGTAGCAGTACGGTCCCGTAACTTGCTGCTTCCGTAGCTGTACTGTTCGTTCTCGCATCGAGTCTCCGGTTTGCAAAGTAGAAATTAGATTGGGTCATGTGCTGTTGGCAAGTTGACCATGAGATGGCATGGTGCAATAAACAGTACTCTAAGGCAGAAATTTCATCACTTTATTATTGCTGTATGTAAAAAGTATGATTATAATGGATATTGGGTCTGATGTAAGCTCTAGTAGAGCTTGCAAATTAATACAATTGTCAGATATACTTAATTTTTAGATGTGCTTCGTAATGTATGAGATAAAATGGCTCATTTTTGTTTTCATTCCTGTTTGTTTTTTGCTGTTGCTCCTGGTTTTCTTTATTTTCATCATTAAAACTCTGTAATAGTGTGTAGATGGCTCAGTGGTAGAGCAGTGGTCTCATAACCGGGAGGTCTTGCTTAGAAACAAAGTCAATGCTAGTGCCCATTGGTAAGGCACTAATCTTCGTAACCAAGTCCCTCAGAGAGAGTACTTAAAGCTGTTGTTCCTCTGGTTGCTGGCCTAAAAGCATACACATGCTTTCTTAGCAGTCGGCTAAAACAAACCAATCATCAATTCTCGTAGCTCCTCATTATTGCCTGGAAAATAGATTGATGGGAGTACAGATCACAAGGTGGTTTTTACCATGCATTAGGTTCAAATTCATTCCGAACACAAATTATTTAATAAAATAATTAATAATTGTTGTTAAATTTGTTTGAAAATGCTTTGGAATATGGCTCAGATTGCACCAGAGGGCGTCTAAGAATCCCTGAGCTTTTAAAGTGAGAGCTGGACCCCGGCCACTTGGGATTCAAGAAATATCCAATACTCAATGAAATGGTCTTTAAGATTATCCAGTAGCAAAGAATTGTTGTTCTTCCATTCAATGTTTTTTCAATGATTGTGAGAGCTCTGTATCTAATGAAGTGACTTAATGTTATTGGGTCATGACTAATGTGAGTAACTCCTGTTTTATTTCTTCTAATACAAGACCGTGCATAGTATTATTATGGCCTTCACCCTTGTTTGTCTAGGTCAAGATATGTAATAACGGTATCAATTTTCATTTGGAGATTAATTTTTCTCCATCTAGGTAGAGAGATCTACACAGGAGGTTGAAATGATATTGATGACACCATGACAGATGTATTATTTCAATCCTTTGTGAAGTCATGAATCATCAGTTCTAGAAAGTAATTGCTACATGCATAATGCCTCGTGTCTTAATTCTCGCCGTAAAGACGGAAGAAGATGAAGAAGAGCCAGCTCCTGTGGCCGCTCCTGAACCCAAAGCGGAACCCAAAGCGGAACCTAAAGCGGAACCCAAAGTGGAACCCAAAGAGGAACCTAAAGCGGAGCCCAAGGTGGAGAAGAAGCCAGAGTCTAAGCCGCCGTCCACAGTATGTGATCCCTAGCCAGCATGAATAGCATGTCTACTCTCTTTGTTCACTGTAGAATTTGTCCTTGTCCTATACCTTCCTCAAGATAACTCCACAAGAACCTTCCAGTATGCTTGGCACGATACTATGAAGTGCATCGGTGTCCCCCGGTATCACGTATGTTTGTGTACTTTGCATTGTAGCTACCTCTAACTGTTCAAGGAGGATGCAGAGTATCTAGCTTAGCTTGTGTAGCACGTCATGGGAGGCTTGGACCCCTCACCTTGTATGTAATGCAGCCTAGCTTCGTAGCGTTCCATCTGGGAACACCCAGTAGACAGACAGCCCATGAGACCAACAGCCTACAAGACAACAGCCCATGACACCGACAATGTTGGTCTTGTAAACCTTCAATAAAGTTGTCCCTCTCTTGGGCTTTTCATCAGGTTTGCTAGACAGACATGGTCGGTCCCATGGGCTTGTAGGTCTAGTGAACCTTCAGTCTTATGGGCTCTACATGTACGTCTTGTGGGCTGTTTGTCTCATGAACTGTCAACCTTGTGGGCTGGCTGTAGCCCATTGCATGTCACATAAAGTTTGGGAGTGGTTGTAGCCTGTACCCCATGTATGTGTCCCTTACACTAGTTTCTGTAATTCTTTGTAATATGTTCTGAACCACCATCTACATGATGTAGATGGTCAGTTGGCCATTGGTGATGGCCACATCCATATTTTTGGGGTGCTAGATTAATGTTTTCATCTTCGAATTTGCAACAATGATAAATCAAAGTATTTGGATAGATCTTGAACTGGAATTGAATTGAAAAGTGGAAAATTTCAAGTTAGCATATAGGAGCAATTATTTTGAATAGGTCAATGTTTTGCCAATTTAGCACTTTTAACATAGTTCCGAAACTTTGCTCCACCTGCTCATGAATGAGGCGTATATTTGAAAGATGAATCTAAAAATATCAATAAGTAATCAAATGCTGTTTTCACCTTAAGTGAATTAGAATTTTATTAGATATTACTGTGATTGCACTTTGGGTAAAAGAGAGTACAAGATAGAAATTTAATGGTATTTAAAAGAAGAGAAGTGATGGGGTCAAAGAGATCATTAATGTCTCCGGGGGAGGGGGGGGGGGGGGGGGACCATCTATGTAGCAAGGCCCGACATCCTTAAATCCATGTAGTAGTCTTTATCTTAGTCTTTGTTGAAGGTTTATTTTTTGACAAGCAGAAGGACGTTAAATTTAGGGGTGTTGTGTCTTACATGTAGTTATCATGAACTAACATGTTTGCTGTGGGTGAAGTCCTGTAGATCATAGTCTAGATCATAGCACGGTGTATTATGACATTTATAGACCTTTACATACTATTTACTTATATATATATATATAAGGAGATGAGCAGCAACAGATATATAGAAAAAGAGACAAACTTTGTATATATATATATATACATTTTTAACTCATGTTAGAACTGTTGTTATTCTCCTTGATTATTACATCATCCATTGTCATCACTACTACTATTACCACCATACTCACTACCAATACTATCACTACAATCATTATTAACACCACCACCACAATCACTTCCGATACTACCTCCACCATTACTTCCACTACTACCATCAATGTCACTGCCACCACCACCACTATCATAACCAATATTACCACCATCATCATCACCACGACCACCACCATCATCATCACCATCACCACCACTACCACATCATAAGCTACCACCAACATCGCCATCACCAAAACCGCCACCTTAACCAACACCACCAGTATTCCCACCTCCACTGCCAACACCACCACAACCATTACTACCAACCAACACCACCTCAACCATTACTACCAACCAACACCACCACAACCATTACTACCAACCAACACCACCTCAACCATTACTACCAATCAACACCACCTCAACCATTACTACCAACCAACACCACCACAACCATTACTACCAACCAACACCACCTCAACCATTACTACCAACCAACACCACCACAACCATTACTACCAACCAACACCACCTCAACCATTACTACCAACCAACACCACCTCAACCATTACTACCAACCAACACCACCACAACCATTACTATCAACCAACACCACCACAACCAACACCACCACAACCATTACTACCAACCAACACCACCACAACCATTACTACCAACACTGCAATCATAACAGATTAAAGAAGTGTGTTTATTACAGTGAAATGCATGGTATTGCTATCATTATGATCATGCTATTGTCCCATCATTACAATTCTAAGACGATAGAGTAGCAGTTTTTCCCTCAGTAATGACACAACCGTTCAAATGTATCATGCGAATTTCATTTCTTTACAAGTTAGGACAGAGCTCCTTATTGATGTGAGATAATTATAAACAATTCAATTTGTCTGTTTGGAGCCAATAGGGTGTTAACTCATTAATTAACGCCCTTCTGTCTCCAAACAGACAAATTTATGTTGTTCACATTTTTGTCGTACATTTCTGAAGTTAGGAAATGAATAAACACATCATAGATGGAGACAAAGTTCATTATTTGTGAAACTTACATATCCTAAAGGTTTTGGTTTTAATTGACTAGAGTTGAGCATGATATGCGGATTTGCATTTTTTGAATCTATTTTAGGTTTACACCTTAATCATAATTAATATCATATCCATTTATAGGGATAAATCATTCCAAGCTTTATAAGCAATTATTCTTGATTTATAATATTCTGTAGGCTGAACACGACTTGTACGTGGTAAAATCATACTTTCTTCATTCCAACTCCAATGTGTTACAATACTTCTACCAAGTCCTGTTTTTATATACAGAAAGCACTTGCTTATATCTTTTAATGTGAAGCAGTCTTCATTTTGTATCCCACCCTCTTATTTCTTCTCCGTCTAAACGTTGCTCTTTGTATTAAGATATATCGTTGCCTTCCCTTTTCCAAATAAACAGCCCCCAGCCACTACCCCCTCAGAACCTCCTTCTCCCAAAGCTCAGAGCAAGAAGCCATCAGAGCCTGTAGCAAAGCCCGTAGCAAAGAACAAGAATGCCACGCCCAACGAATCGACCACATCCAAAGGAGGGAAGATGTCAGTCTCAGATATCCTCCTCGATGTGCGCAACCTGAGAAACACCGTCAGCAAGCACGAAGCCAGTATCATGGCGCTGGAGGACCTTCAATTAGTAATCGTCTTCTCTTTCCTTTCTTGGATCGTTTGTTTGTTTGTTTATTCCAGCGTTTGTTTGTGTGTTTGTTGTTTTTCCTTTCTGCCTGTTGGTTCCACAGAAAAGTTATCAAATAATAACCTAAAGTTATCGATTTTGAAAGCCTCATTTTTGGTTCTCTTGTTATCGAGATCATATTTTTTAACGTTTCTGGCTTTAACACAGAGACTCTTTTTACACTAATATTAAAGCTTGTTCAGTATATTGATATTTTCCTCAGTCCCTTGACAAATTTTCTGAACAGAATACAGGCCTCAGAAACCTGACTAACCAAGGGATAAAAGAAAAATTAAAATGTTATCAAAACCGAGTTCTTCATATCAAAATCTTTCTTTAGTGACGTTTATCTCATTTTCTAGCATGCTTCATTTATCATCCAGAGTTTCTCCAGATTGTAGATCAGATCAGCAGCGTTTTTATGTCCAGCAAAGCATTTTGAATGATTGTATCCACTCACCGTGTGTGACTAATCACAAAGGCTTTTCTCCTGTACTAACCAAACTAGGTTTTGCATGCCAAGATGAAACTGTTTTTTCTGAAGGTTTTGAAGATTTTCTTCCATTGATATTAAAATGAGTTGTCATTTATTTTTATTTGTTGTTTCATCATGACTTTGAAAATACAAGTTTTTTTTGTTGTTCATTTCTTTAAAATAAAGATTACAATAACAAGTGTCTTCATGAAACATTTTTACAGGATCATAGGACAAACATGTACAAAAAAAGTTGAGAATGATTCAGGATATTTACCTTGAATTGCCCTGGATTTTTGACAGTGGATAAATGATAAAAGATTGGAAAAGGGAGATATTACTTCCACAAGTTGTGCATTTTAGTATGATCTCATTACTTTACAGCATCATAGTTATTTTTGCAGAATTATGTTAGCTTGATCTAAATAGCAAGTCACATCTTTACTCATTTTTCTTCTTTTACAGATTATCAACTGGGTTTAAATGTGTTTCCCATGACTAACAAATATCTGTTCTGTATGTCATTATTGCTGCTGTTCTTGTTATTATTATTATATATTACACATTATTTATATTGGGAACTTTTTCTTCAATGAATCTACTTTATTCCAATCAATCTGCTGTTATAAATGATGATAAAAGAGAAATCAATTTTACCTCATGAATAAAATATCTTCTGTTTGGCACACTTACACGAGTTAAAGACTTGGCACTCCATAGACGAGGAGACTAACTCACCAACTTTCGTCTAGTATTTAAGCTAATTGAAGTTATTCTGTTTTTTTGTCAAAACAAGCATGTACGTCATCACAACTAACCAGAATTTGTTACTACATGAACCTGTGTATACAGATATTCTCTCAGTGTTACCCTTCACACACATGCCTGATGTATATACATGTGTACTTGACTAACTAGTTGTGCATTACCTTCAGCATTTTAGATCCAATGCAATGTTATTAACATTATCCTCCTTTCATAACATGTATTATTCTCTTTGTCACCGTGGTAGCAGAGCATAAACACCTGTGGTTTATACAATTTTTTTTAACATGCATTTTACTGTACCCGAGAATGTATTCTGTAATGCTTGTCTACAATTTCACAGATGAAATTTTAATCATCAGCAAGATTTTTTTGGAAAAAGAAAGTTGATTTAAACAGATTTTCTTGCTGTTCTTTATATATTTAGAATGAACTTACATGTCGAACATCTTTTTAGAAAGGTTTGCAAATACAGTAAAGGTTGGTGCTGAATTAATATGAGAAGTTCCATTTATTTGATTATTTTGAAATAATAAATCAAGTAACCACAAGCAATGTACAATATACTTGTGGAGTGATATTGGAGTGATATTACTAAGTTGAAACTATCAATCTATAGTGGCAAGACGAAGGAAACCAGCCTTATGTTTAAATGTTGCAAAAGCATGTCCTTTGGCATGGAAGATAACATTTCTAAAACACTTCCTGACTCTAATGTTTGAGTATCCTTATCCTTACCCTTCCAAGAGTGCTAACATAAAACAAACATGAATTGTGTATGTGTGTGTGTATGATACACCGTTTTATAGCAAAACAAACATTTTATTTTTGTGTGGTGTGTACTTTTTTTATAATTATAGATCAGTTATGACTTCAAAGTGTACAGAGACATGTGACTTTAATTATGTCTTTGTCTCCCCCCTCCCCCTGGATCCCTTCTCCTCTATCTCCTTATCTTTTGATATCCCTTCCATCTCTCTCCTTCTCTCTCTCTCTCTATCTCTCTCTCTCTCTCTCTCTGCTACGCTTCCAATCTCTGACCTACAGAGCCAAAGCAAGGAGGTCCAGGATCTAGTCGCCGAGATCACCAAACTGAAGGCCACTGTTGCGGAACAAGAGAAGCGCATCGCCGCCCTGGAAGCAAAATAGAACAACAGAAAGAAAGATTTTGGCCAATACATGCCAAGATAAATTTACCAGATGATTTTCTGGAACATCTAGAAGACATATTATCTAATAGGAGCCAGTTTATTACGATATTCATTACTCTTTAACGAAAAAAAAATCTCTGTGTAAGTGAATACGATGTATATATATATACTTTGCAAACCAAATGTGTGGAAATTTATAAGAGAGTGGTGGCGTAGCTTTCAAGAAAACCTTAACTGGCGCCATGCATATTGCCCATTTAGAGAAGTGATACCAGTCTAGGATACATGGAGTAATTTATTGCTTAACTTTCCTACAGCATGTACAGTGTGCTTAGGCAACAAAATGTTTTGTCTTATTTAACCAACAGTTTTTCCCCACAATTTTTGTACTATCTGTGTCATACCACTACTACACTTTCCATAAGATTAGATGTACATGTATGTATAACGAATTTAGGTTTAGATTTTGATATTGTACAAAAGGCTTGTCTATCCAAAAGACTTTGGATAAATAGTGTGTGCTTGAATATTCTAAGTAGCTTTACATTGAATACACTCTTAATATGGCCTGTTGTCTCTCAATTTTGACTGTATGTAGTGCCTTAGTCCCGTGTATGGTAATTCATGAATGGTAAGCGCTTCCTTTTGTAAACCTTCAAACAAGCACTGATGTGATTCAAAGACCGGTCACTCCTGCATCGTGAAATCATCAAGAATTTTATGACAGAGTACTAAGTTGCACCTTGTTTGATATGAACATAAACGTGTATTTATTGGTAAATTTTAACAACAAAAAATTACCCTGTGTGTATAGGGATAATGCCATTCCAGATCAAGAAAACTAACCATATTTGTGCCAATATACCGCATCATATTTCTTCGGTAACAAAACACCAGAAATTATTCACTTTTTCTGTTTAGATAAGGTGTAAAAGGTTGGCATAGGCATGCTGCTAAAATTATAAATCTTGTATGAAAACAGGAAATATTTGTATTTTTTTCGTACTACCTGTACTTCAATTTTTGGATACATTTTAACAGAACAAGACGAGAAGGATTGTAGTTTTGAATGTGCTTTAAAGATAGGATGAGGTGTCGTCAAAACACAGTTCTATGACAATCACTATTACCAAAGAGAATTGCTGAGAATGAAGTGTAACTTTAATGTGTTAGTGTAGATCCCAGTAGCAAGAGCATGCTCCATTGTTTGACGAAGGTTTAGTTCATTAGATATGCACGTTAGGCTTTTAGGTTGGAAACGTTTTCAATGCGGATTATCAATTAGCTTACATTTTCCGAAATCGTCCATTTTACAACATGTTGTTGTAGACATACAGGCAAATCAAATCTTACGGTAGTTGCATGTGTAGGTAAGTTTTCAATCGTAGTAAACAGAAATTTGCAATTTTAGTCTATGTTTTGTGTGCCTATCTCCAAAATATGTAGACCTTAATCAAATATGTGATATCTTAACAGTTCTCAGATAAACTTGGTAAGGTTGGGGGAAAAAAATTGATTTGTCACAGTCTTTGTATATGCACCACTCAACAAAAGCAGTTCTCATATTTCAGTCACACCGCCAAACCAATTTCACACCGACTTGAACCGATCGATATCTGGCCATTTCAGATAGTGTATCACTTTGCTCGGTTTGTTGTCTGGTCTGTTTTCGGTCTGGTGTCGGTCTCATTTGTGCGACTTTGGTATAAGAAACTGCTCAGCACCAGACGCTTTTCTTGCTTTTGTATATTTCCATGCAACTCTTGAGCTTCCATCATTTCCAGCTGTAATCGTGTCTCTTCTCTGTCAATTTCTTAAATACCGGTAGGTAATATTTCTTGGCTGAGTTTTGTATCTCAGTGGTGTAGTAAACACAAATTTCAAAAACCGAGACTTTGGGCAGCAGCGTGCATACTCCTTCCTCATAGTGAAGTGCGATGCGGTGAAACCTTGTTTTAATCAACTCTTAGGGATCACTGCGGTTTTCAAACTTTAATTGGCAACAATTATCTATATTTTACCATCTTTAATAAAGAATAGTAAGTTTGAACGAAAAATTACCAAAAAATCGGAACAAGAAATTGCAAATTTAGAGACAGAAGTGAAAGTTCTGGTATTGTCTTTTTTGGTACATCTGAATAGGAGCTATACATATGCATTTGAACCTTTTTTTTAAACAATTTATTTCAGGACAAAGGCAATAATGTAATTAATGAATTTAATGGATGAAAACATTTTTTTTTTGCTAGGCGAATTACTCGAGCTCACATTTGTATTGTCATACGATGATTTCTTGTAGACTTTAAATGATGGTATGACTTTAGTAGGCTTATGTATCTTATGTGTAGTGTGTATAGGAAACATCTATTTTATTCAGTATTGGCTCAAAAGCCTGGTTTATATAGAAAAGCAATTAAAATTGTGAGAATTAGAAGAACTGTGATTATTAAAGCTTGGTCTCTTTACCAAATATTTTAATTTTCTCGTAGAGGAACATAATGTTTTTTTGTATCAATCAAGCATTATTACTGCTAAACATGTACATGTAGTTTACTTTTATTATACGGTATGGGATAACTTTATTGCCATTTGGTCCAACGACAACTAGTCTGGTATCCAGCCCTTTTGATTCTATTTTGACCATACCCAGTTCGTCTAATCATCCAGCTGGGCTATGGTTGCTCACCATCCATGTAGATTATATCTCTGTCCAATATCCATTTACCGGTAGTCAAAATTTGAATCATCTTTCCTAATAATCAGGTCTTACGAAAAAAGGCCTGATCTTTTGTTTTAAAGACCAAATAGTGGCCCAAACAGACGTAAAATGAACTGAAAAGTAGACAACTTGAAAAAGAAAAAAAAATGGATGTAATGATGAAGAGACGAACAGTATGTGGGATATATACAATTTCTCAAATGGAATGTTTAATGCAATGGTATTGGACCAAATGGCAGTTAACTGGGATTTTACCCAAAAGGGTACTCTGTTAAAAAATTGAGAGTGAAAATTTATGATTGGGTACTGGACAATAAACTATTTGATTTACAGAACCTGTGCCTTCTAATTTTGTGTATGTTATGTTTTCATGAAGCATCTTTAAAGCCTCGGTCACAAATGCCATTACGAACGCCGTACAATTTTCAGACAATGGAAATTCGGGAAGGCAATGGAAAAACAGAGATTCGTACGAACCTTCGAGACCGTAGCTTTACATTTTAAAAGTTAGGATCATTATCAAGGTTCGTTCACATATGTTTCAGAAAACTGCTGCTGTGTATTTGTGACCTTTTTATGAATGGCAAGCGGGGATGAAAGAAGTAGCTGTCATTTAACAGTGGCATATGTAAACAAGTCCTTATGATAAGAACAAGCTTTAATTATAATTAATTACATTTTACTATTCTTAATTATGATTAATTATTGATTTAAGTAATACAAGTACCTGGTATTTCACAGGCTGTTGCAACAGAATATTGAAAATCACATTCCCATAGGCTGCAACATACTGGGGTGCGTCTTATACACAGGTACAGGAACATTTTTTTTATTTTTTTTATTTTTTTTTAAAGTTTTGATTTATGGCGCTATGCCTGGCAATGTCTCCCAGCCCAGTATTCGTTGTGTTGACTCACCACTCGGAAACTACAACAACACTCAAATTTGTCTGTCATCTTGGTTTGAAAGTAATCTTTCTAATAGATCTCAATATGTAGTTTATAATAATAATTCCTCAAATTTTATTTCTATTACACATGGTGTACCACAAGGTTCTATCCCAGGTACTCTATTGTTTTTCATTTACATTAATGATCTTACACATTCTTCTTAAAATGACATTGTACTATTATTTGTGACAAGTTCACAGCACAAATCGGCACCACTGCACCTCGATGTTAAATGAAGGTTCTTCCCCGCGTGGGTTTTCGGCAACAAAACAACAACAAAACAAAACTAGATGGAATTCGACTGCGCGCAGTCGAAAATGATGCCTCCGTCATAGAGCAATTTTACAAACCGAAACGGAAGAAATTTTTCAAATTCAAGTTCAATTGTAATCCATTAACATGTTCTCAGAATATCGTGATTACAAGCAATTTCTCATATACATATATGACCCTTTGATCTTTGACCTCATGACCCTAAAATCTACTCAGTTCATTGGCTCTGCAAGATTTCCTGAGTTAAATAGTAATCCATCTGTCAGTTCTAATGAGAATGCATCCACAAGCTATTTTTGCATACATAATGAGCCCATGACCTTTGATCTTATGAACCATTCATTGGCTCTGCAAGATACATAAATGATCTAAGTTTGGCAGGAATCCATCAATCTGTTCTAATGATAATACGATCACAAGCTATTTTTGCATACATAATGAGCCGCATGACCTTGACCTTTACCTCATGACCCCAAAATCTAATCAGTTCATCAGCTCTGCAAGTAACATACATGACCTAAGTTTGGCAGGAATCCATCAATCGGTTCTTGAGATAAGGCGATCACGAGCTGTTTTTGCATACACAATGTGCGCTGTGACCTTTGACCTCGTGACCCCAAAATCTAATCAGTTCATTGGCTTTGCAAGATACATACATGACCAAAGTTTGGCAGGAATCCATCAATCGGTTCTTCAGATAACGCGATCACAAGCTGTTTTTGCATACATAATGAGCCCTGTGACCTTTGACCTTTGACCTCGTGACCCTAAAATCTAATCAGTTCATCAGCTCTGCAAGATACTTACATGACCAAAGTTTGGCAGGAATCCATCAATCGGTTGTTCAGATAACGCGATCACAAGCTGTTTTTGCATACATAATGAGCCCTGTTACCTTTGACCTTTGACCTCGTGACCCAAAATGTAATCAGATTGTTTTCCTATAGTGATACACACTATCACTAAGTTTGAAGTTTAAATCTCCAGTGGTTCTTGAGATATCATGATAACAATCTCAATGTATGGAATTTCATAAGTTGACCTCTGTGACCCTTGACCTTTGACATACGTGCTCCAAAATCTAATCAGATCGTCTTCCTATGGTGATACATACTATCCTTAAGTTTGAAGTTTAAATCTCAAATGGTTCTTGAGATATCGCGCTAACAAACTCAATACAAGGAATTTCATAAGTTGACCTCTGTGACCTGTGACCTTTGACCTACGTACTCCAAAATCTAATCAGATCGTCTTCCTATGGTGATAAATACTATTCCCGAGTCTTAAGTTTAAATCTTAAATGGTTCTTGAGATATTGTGATAACGGTCAAACGGGACGGACGGACGGACGTACGGACGGACGGACGTACGGACGGACGTACGGACGTACGGACGTACGGACGGACAACCCGAAAACATGATGCCTCCGGCACCACCTTCGGTGGCGGAGGCATAAAAAATATATGCGCCTTATACACAGGTGTGTCTTATACACGGAGATTTACGGTACAGTAAAACCTGTACAGTATATTAAAGGCACGAAAATATAAGAGGGAAATTGTAATAGATGATTGACCATTTTACCTTGTTATAATTGTGTATCAGGAAATTTCGGCGAAAGAATATCACTGAATATATAAAATGAATCAACACACAAGACTCTAACATATAAACAGAATGAACAAAATTGTCTTAAAACTTCCATTGCTTTTATTCTGACATTGTCCAAATCCAGATGTAACACTTTAAAATGATCTGCTCGAGTCTGTTTGACAAATCGATACACAGGTACAGTATATGCCAATTTGACTGCATATGTTTGAAAAGACCAGATACCAGTACATGGACAATTTTCTGCATAGCAACAACACTAACTGCAACAAAAGAACAGTGGATCATTTAATTATTGCAAATACTGGACCAACAGGTATACTGAGATATAATAACATCACAGTAATATACTAAGATTGACAAGATTTGGTTTATTTATTCATTGGCAAGATAATATCTGATCTATTTTCAATAACAACAAAAATTCCAAGATAGCACAAAATTTAAAGAAAATTAAAGCCTTTTCATTTATGGTCACAATTTACGATTTTCACAAGACTAAAGCTGGAAGCACAATTGGGAAAACGGATGGAATGCATACAATAATCAAAATGAGCTTGATATATTTCAAACATGTACCTGCCTCTAAAGTTTTACAGTCGAGCTAAAAGCTAAAACTTCTAAAACAAACACAAGTGTCAAAACTCTAATGTTATTATTGGATTAAATTTGATTTTGAATCCATTTTTTTCTCAATTACGTGAGATATCGTGAAGCCTAGAAAAGTAATATGAGATATCTTCCACTTTATGGGCAGCAAAGACTTCATTCTGCAAGTTTCCTTAACCACATGACCAAGAATGTATACATCTCAAATCTCACTTTGCTCAATGTTTCTTTCCCATACACAAAGAATATTTTAAGTAGACGGCGAAAAATATATAAATGCACTTGCATTCATTTTACTTTGTTTTGTTTCTTTTCATACATTAAGTATATTTCAACGCACGTCCAAAAAATGGAAATATATTTTACAATCACTTTACATTGTTACGTTACTTTTGCATACCTAAAGCATATTGTACTGGCAATCATATATTTGATCTAACATAATAAACTTGCTATGCGATTTTACTTTACTATAATCACTACATCGCAATGCACATTAAAACTACATGTAGATCAAAAACACAATGCATGCACATTTTCTAAATGATTTCAGATGTATAACAACTTACAATCATATCATACTAAATATTGCAACTATATTGGCTAATAATTGACACCACATTTTCTACACAATTTCTAATTATCCTTCTTACGATCATAATGTACTGTCTATGGCAGCGATTTTGGCTAGTATTTGGCAGCATAAACATCTACTAATGGCATTGAGTCATAAGGTTACCCATTTCTATTTGAGACAGTGGAAATGTGGCATAGTTTTTTCTCCCTGAGAAAAAGACAGATTTTTTTTTTGCATTTCACAGAATCATTGGTGTAAATATCAAACAAATTGAAGAAACCAAACCCTGCACAACTTCCACCTTTCACACTGCAATAAGTAGTAACATTTTTTGATATTTGTTATTTTTGTCTTCTTCTGTACAAGTGCATGTAATACTGGTGATAAATGAAAATACAATGTATACTTCATAAGCCATTACCACTCCTCGATGTCAAAATGAGGGAGGGGAAAGTAAAAGAAAGAGAGAGAGAGGGAGAGGAAGAGGAAATGGAGGGGAGTAGGAAAGAGAGGGGAGTAGGAAAGGGAGAGAGTGAAAAAGAGGGGGGGGGGTTAAGGGATTTTAATTTTTTTTAATAGACAAGATACAATGGGACAACACAGAGAGGTAAAAAGAGGAAATGAGTCGGAGCGACTTTAAAACAAAAAAAACTTCCTTTTCTACATTTAGATTTGGTACCATTGCTACATTAATGGTAACTATTGTTACCATCAGTATTCTAAAAAGGAAAAAACATTATTTATTGTCATATACATAGAAGAGTGTACTCCTATTTTCTTTCATGTGTTCATGATCAGTTACTTCAAACTGTCGTCACTACTTCAGCACCACTAGCGCCAATGATCACTTAAACCTTTTGAATATTGTACATGCTGAATTGATTTTGTTAAAAAATGTATGGCAGTATTTAAACTGAGATACAAATCTGAATGTAAAATGATTTTTGCCAATAAAAAAAACCACAGACTGTTAATTAGTAACTTAATCAAAAGTCCATGATCTCATAGCAGTCTTATTAAATCCATACAGATTTGTAACCTGTATGTAGAGTCTTCTTCCTATTTGAATAGTGATAATCAATTGATAATCATTGTGTCAAAGTACACTATTTTACCTGACTGCTTATCATGATATCATGCATGGGTCATCAGACTTGATGAAAAATCATCTACAATTAAAGCACCAACATGCATATATATGCACAAACGGGATAGGTGTCTATTGAACATCACGATCAGCACTTTTTCCTATGCCCTCTTTCATAAAACTTCTTATGAATAACAACTGCTAATACTATATGACAAATTTTCTCTCTCTCAATGCAATGATTTCAGTAGCTTATAACAGTTAATGTAACTTGTTATTGATAACATGTTTTATGAAAAAGGGCCCTAGCTAGTCTTCCTTTTCCCCTTGTTCAACTATCATATATTTTCCATTGATTTCATGTGACGGATATCATGTATCATTTTATTTCTAGATAGTCAATTCAATTTTTGTTGAATTCTGTAAGATTCTTACTTTTCATCAAATCAGATTTCAGGATTACCTTTAATACACATATCAATTAGAAGGAAGGGTGGCATTGTCAGCTTGAGATAGGTCAGATTGATTAGGAAAGGTCCTCTAAATTTAGAATGCTTTCAGCAAACACAAATAGATAACTCAAGTGCACAGTGTACAGAACCCTTCAAATAAATTACAAACAGATTTCTATAACAGGCTTACAAGGCAGTGATATTGACTTCAAGCTCCTGAACAAAATATATGATTTGAACAAATTATCCCCCGTATAGCAAGCCTCTCTCTCTGCTCACGACAAACGTCCAGATACACCAATTTAAAATAGTACCTTGATCTAGTTAAAATCATTAAATATCAATTTAAACCCAAACCTACCTTCCAAAATAGTCCTTGCAGATGCACCATTCCAGAACAAGATTATTTCATAAAAGTGAGGAAGCTTTAAACTTAAGCACCAACAGGTTTTCTACTTGAACTATCCGGGTTCTTTTAGTTAAAGAAACAATCATTAATAATCTGCCATTTTAGGCTTAGCAGCATATATCATAAGAATCAATATATATGGCAAAGATGACAATATATTTATGTCATTCCATCAGGGAAAAAGAATTTCAACAGTTTCTAATATTATAAAACAGCATGTGAACACAACTTCACAAATGTACATATAGAAGCATTCAATCTGGCAGGATTAAAAAGATAAAAACAATAGAATTGGCAATGATGGCAATTGAATGATGATGGTGTTTTCCTGATTGCAATAGATTTTGTTCCTCGTTGCACTTTAAGAGGCAGTAGATTGTGTTATCAGAGGCTGCTCAAGACCATAAGGCAGCCATTGTCCAAGCTTGGGGAGACATGATCCACAGGAGATACAAACATGGTGTAACGGAATGTAAATCATGGAATAATTCTGGTTCTTTATGAAAGTGGGCTCGTTCTCTTGTAGAGACGAATGCATTCAATATCCTTCAATAAGCATGTCTGTATGTGGATTAAAGACAGAAAAATGATCATTTTATTATTAATAATAATAATAATAAATAATAATGTTGGATATTTATATAGTGCACATATCCACCCTGCAGGGTGCTCAAAGCGCTCCAATGTTACCCTGGCTCTGCTAGGATATTAATTTTGGTGCTCACAGCATTAATTAATTATTCATATATACTTCAGGGTGAAGGTGAAACTCCCATGAATCATTGTAAGCATCATGTTGAAGATCGGTCAATGTAGTGGTAATATATTTATTTGGGGTTCAATTTTGCCACATTACAAATGGGAACTGAGAAGGAAAGTCCTTGAAACTTAAAAGAGGAATTAAAGATTCATTTTCAATACTATATTTCCTCATATTACTGGTTGATATTTGAAATCCACACTTCTGTACTTCCTACGTATTAAACCAGATATCTTCACTGGCTTGAGATGAAAAATAACATTTTATAAAGGAGTTATATTTCTCATCTCAGCATGATTTTCCTGTTGTAAGTCCTTGCCTTCTACTAGGCACTTCCTACAAATATATACCGGTAAGTTTCTCCAGGGGAAATAAAACTCCCTTGGCAGTCAATCAAATGTTATCTCACACCTCCAGACAGTGAACATCAAATGAATATAGCACATTCATATAACAACAGAGGGAAATGAAAAAATGTTAATTATAATTCAAGAGCCAGAGGGAGTGACTTCTGGGTTAAAAGTATGAAATAATCCCCTCCGACTCTAAAGCCGGAGACGATATATCAATATGACAATACGGAACGAGGAAATGTGAATCACAGAATAATTTTTTTGTTATACAAAATCCTCTTTGCAGCCTACCTGTTTGTGACAAGATCCAAAAGATGTTCTCATTATTAAACCTCAAAATCAATTTAACTTTTGAACTTCCCTTTGGGTTACAACAGGCAATGCAGTTGCCTGCTTTGCAAGCTGAGACTCTACATGCAATGTAACATTTTAACAAATATAATGTTTCGAGTAGGCTCCTATATAGGCAAGCTTCCTGATAGATGGATGTGTCACAAATATTGAGCAGATAGACTGTACATTAAAGGGAATATGGGGTGCAATCCAATCTAACACAGTTCAGATCCTGTCTTGTCCATTTAATCAAGTAAAATCAAATCAAATCAAATCAGTTTATTGAAAGAAAATCCACAAATATACAAGTAAGGACAAAAGAAGAATGAAAACAGGATACATATGTATGCAATTATGCATGTATGAATAATGGAAAAAGATGATCATCATGCCATTGGGATTGTGTTGTAAACAATGTGGTTGCCTCATGAATGCCTTGAGGGGCAATTAATTGCCCTTTCATTGTTCTTGGTCCCGTTTCATAAAACTTGTCATCAGTGACAAATGACAGTTTTTGTTATAAGCTACTGAAATCCTTGCTTCTGATTGGTTGTCAGCAGATTTGTCACTGATTTTTGTCATTTGTCATGGAAAAAAGGCTTTGTGAAACGGGTCCCTGGTGTTCTGGCTAGCCCTAGCTCATGTACTTACCACTTTGAGATCCTTGTTCGATCCTTCCAGCTCCCTGATGTAGGTACAGTCCTTACCATCTCCTGCACTTCCGATGGTGGATTCTTTCTGTACTAGCTTGCCATCCTCCACACACACTGTCGACTGTCGGCGAAAAGAAAACAGAAATATGATTGTTTCCTGATGTTCCAAGGCAATGGAATGTATATTCAGGCAACTATTAAAGTAGGTCAAAAGTGAAAAATTGTTGTTTGCCCGGCTTGGGGCTTGGGCAAGCAATATATGATATTTAAAATGTTGGAGAAGTGTTCATTTAGCAAGACAGAAGAGACAAATCCAACTAATCTGACTGCTGTTTTTTTTCCAATTAATACTTAGAAACCCCCCCCCCCCCCCAATTTTTTTTTTTTTTTTTTACTTGTGCACAACTGTAGGATCTACATGAAATTTTAGAGTTTTGACTGACTGTAATTCTAAAACAAAGTATGGATGAGATGCATACGCATAGTAACAAATTATGTTTCACACAGAGCCCCCCCCCCCCTTCCCCCAACAGGCAGCCCCTTCATCCTTTTCACAAAATTTCACAGCAAAGATATGTAAATATAGGGGTCGCATTAGAACATACCTTGACCTTCCTGCCATCTGGAGTGGTGGTCTCGAACTCCTTGCCGACGTCGAACTCCAGCGTGGTGGTCTTGAATGTTGAGACAGAGGTGAAGGTGTAATGGTCACCTTTATTCGCGATGGTCAGTTCAGGGGTCACTTGGTTACCCATCTTTCTGAGGAAAAAATTCACTCCTGCAAGTGGAGGAAAAAAAATAGTATGAGGGAAATAAGGCGATTCTGCGCAAGATGTCCTGTATGACTCAGTTTGTCTGTTTGGAGCTAGAAGGGCATTAACTCTGTGTCAAGTGATATGAGTTAGTGTTCTTCTGGTACAAAACATCAAAAATATATAGTATTAAATGTACTATGTCCCTTTTGCAGCCAACCTCAAATGCTGTAGAACTTTGCAGGAATTATGAATATGTCATGTATGTCCTATCTGTGAAATTTAAACGTTAGCAGTGTCCTCATATTCAAATTATGCAAGGAAACCCGTTTACTTGCTAGACTTAACTGTCAGACACTATTGAGTGACTGACTGGCTTTTTTTTCTTCTTTGGTAATAACATACATGAAAAGAGTTTTAAAGGGTACATGAGCATTTGTCTACATCAATAACCCACTTCTTGTGATGGCCAATATTAAACTGATTGAATCTTTGCGCAGCATAAAACGTATGACCATTCGGTACAATTGTCTGAAAATCAAGACTATTACTTTTGGGCTCTATAGCCCTAAAGTCGATTTGACAACTAATAGTCGTTATTTTCCCACTTGAAGACATTTTCAAGCCCCACCTTTTTTAAGGGAAGTTCTAAATTAGTATTATCTTTCAATTTTCAAATGCAGTGGAATTTAACTTTTTCGTTTTTTTGGCCTGCAAATGGGACATACATGTAGTACCTTTAAAACAAATATTTTGATATGAAAAATAAATAATTATAGTGCCATCAGAAAGAAAGAAAGATTTAATAATTAAAGATTTTAAATCTTCAATAAGAGATTTTAAAGCTAAAGACCAGTTATGGTCATGCAATTGCATTGTGAAAGAAACGTTGTGAAATCGATCAGAAAAGGTTGATCATCTACTATAGATGTACTGCAAGGTTCTGGAATCATCAAAATGATAAGAAATTTGGCCAAGTCTTCATAAAGTTAGAAGCACTGTACACAGAAAGATGTATATGGGACTACACACAGGTGTGCGACACGTGCATTTCATATCTCTCAACAGGCAAGAGATACACTAATTTACCAAATATATCAATTAGTAGGGCGGTTTCCCGTCAACATTTTTACCATCATGTAATATTCAAAACATATTCTTTCACATGATTGGTAATAGGAGCTTCCATTTCATTTTTTGAGATTGGGGCGTTTCCAATACTGGTCTTTACCTTTAAATCTTTAGATGGAATAAAAAGGGGGGAAATATCTTTTTTCTTATGAAGTATCTCTCAAAGAAGTGCCCTACATGTAAATACCTGATACTAATCTAACCAGTCTACATTGGACATATAAAATAATACGGCGTTAAAATAAATGAACAATGATAACGCAAACTTAGTAATGTGCCAAATAATAATAAAGGTACATTCCTCTTGTATTCAAACAGCACAGTAATCAGAAACAAAATCCTATTATATGTATTATACATTAGAGCACTAAAATAAATCTCAGCAATGCAACTCTGATAGTGATCCTACTAGCAGATAACACAATTTAAGACTATATCCATCTAAGCTTAATACCCCATATTGCATGATAAAGGTTTCAAATGCCAACTCATGCATTTGAGTACCGGTATCAGATTCATACACTTCTTCTTTTAATACAGACCTGATATCTACCAGTACATGTACATGTATGTTTAGATTTACAACAACAATTTTAAAATATAAACATTTTGACTTAGAATTGAAAATAAGGGAGATTAGTAATATTTGAAAATATATAGGTAATAGTACACTCTGCGTTCATAAGCTGTGTAATAGCGGTGTTTCAAACTTGACACATGGCTTGGGAAATGGTGAGAGCGATAAGAGTACAGATAGAAGAGAGAGAGAGAGAGAGAGAGAGAGAAGAAGAGAAAAAAAGAGAGAGAGAGAGAGAGAGAGAGAAAGAAAAGAGAGAGAGAGAGAGAGAGAGAGAGAGAAGAGAGAGAGAGGAAATAAGGGAGAGGGGAAGGAAGGAAGGAGGGAAGGAGTGATGTTTTAACAGGAATAGGGGGCAGAGGGTCAACCTGTAAGTGACCTTGTTACTTGTATGAGCAGTCAGTACACCTCGCATGACGTACAGGAAATCTCTCAAAGTTAACCCAACAAATCAATTGAAGGACTTCCTGACTCATCAACAGCAAAATGTCAATGTCATTAACATCGACTTGGTTTATCAATTCCGCAATACACATAGTAAAATCATCTTTTCCCCAATAGGTTTGATTAACCAGACTGAATCACATGATAAATCTAATAAGATTTTTATCTCACACAAGCAAGATTTCTTTTTTTTTCCTTGCATTTTCAAAGACCAAATTTCCCCAGAGCTCTCTTTCAAGTCTTTTTAAAGAGACTTTTCTGAGCTACATGAACTTTGTTTCTGGCTCCCATAGACTTTTGTTACCATGTATAATGTCAACTTGGATTCAGTAAATTTAGTATTTGAAAACATAGTGTGTAGATGGAATATCTCAGGCTGGGGTAGATGAAAATGATAAGACTGCTTTATTTAAAAATAGGAATTGAATGACAAATAAGCTGCTTTCTTTAAAAAGAAGGGCACTCTATACATGTAAAGACGTATTACTATTAGAAACTTGATCAAAATATGCCATTTGAACGGACTTATGCCATTTGAACAGACTTATGCCATTTGAACAGACTTAAATGCCATTTGAACAGACCCTTAAATATACACATCGCTCGTGCGTCTACTGAAGCTGGGCGTCTGGCCAGGCTAATTTGGCCTATGATTTTATCTTTTATGAAGTCAATGTATGATGGAAAAATGACATTAAATTACTCTTTTTGGCAAACGATAAGCAACAAATCTGAGTGATCATATATGCATGCTCATCTTGTCTGATCCAATCAGCACCATCTCCGATATAAATATCATCATCATCATAGACTTCATCATCATCATAATCGATCACCAACGTAGAAATCATCTTCATCATCATTGACATCATCGTCATCTTCATCATCATCAAATCACCATTAATGCATTACCAATTTATCATCATAGACATCATCTTCGTCATCATATCATCTTCATTTAAAGCTAAGGACCAGTTATGGTCATGCTATTGCATTGTGAAAGAAACATTGTGAAATCGATCAGAAAAGGTTGATCATCTAGCATAGGTGTACTGCAAGGTTCTGGAATCATCAAAATGATAAGAAATTTGGCCAAGTCTTCATAAAGTTTGAAGCACTGTACACAGAAAGATGTATATAGGACTACACACACGTGCGCAACACGTGCATTTCATATCTCTCAACAGGCGAGAGATACACTGATTTACCAAATATATCAATTATTAGGTGGTTTCTCGTCAAATTTTTTTATCATCATGTAATATTCAAAACATATTCTTTCACATGATTGGTAATAAGAGCTTCCATTTCATTTTTTGAAATTGGGGCGTTTCCAATACTGGTCTTTACCTTTAACATCATCTTCATTTAACATCATCCTCAAATCACCATTATTATCATTGACATCTTCATCACCATTATCATTATCATCAACAGACAAACTCATGATCATCATCAGTATCACCTAGATCTAGGTCTAGATCTAGGTCTATCTACATCAACACGATCATCATCACAATCGTCACCACAATACAATCGTCATCATCATGTAGACTCTACTACCAATAACCACCACCATCACCATCGCCATCACCAGGCACCATCAACAATCACTTGACGCAAAGTCAATTACAATGAAGTTCGGCGGACATCACATTCACAGTAACGCAGCTCTCAGTTCAGAATTCAGACTCCTAGAGCTGACTGCTACTCCACGTCCACTCTGATCGAACGGGGCGGGGCCCCGAGGCCGAGGAAGGCCATGTGATGTCATTAAACTCCACAATTCGTATTCAAGCTTACCTAATGCACACATGAATTCATCAAATTTTTCGCTTTTAGCGAGTAAGTACGTCCCAACGAAATCTGGAGATGCCATTTTTAGCTGTCAAATGTACCCTAGCAGACGATAAAATTTAAGATTCGCAGGATAGACGGGTTCTATTCAACTTGTGTAATGAGGCAAATCACACTACATGCAGCTAGATGTACTGTACTTGCGCGTGCGCTGTATTATAGTATGTCGTATATTTCTACGCGCGCGATGCGCATGTGCGTGCCTGTGAGTCAGTCTAGTCAAATCAAAGATTGGTACGTGGGGGAGGGGGGGGGGGGGGGGGGAGGGGGGTACGGTACCTGTCATTTGGAATTTATGAATGAATTTGAATACCTTAGGTGTTAAATACTCAATAATGCTGTTTTTATTCATCAATCATTTGACTCATGTCTATGAAAATTACCTCATATATATTCTTTTGCAGCTAGTGTAAACGTTCAATTTTTGTAAGAGCTATATATATATATAGCTGCTATCTCTCCTCCCTCGATCCACATTCTCTCTGTTAAAGTTTACACTTTCACTGATAAAGCTTTCGAATCTCACAGTACATAATATTGATCATTCCATAAACTGATCATTTTATAAAGAAAGCTGCCAGCTGTTAATTGATTACTTCATGATACATGTAATATTAAATTAAGTACAAAATCATTCAACCAATCAATGTAAATCAACTAATTTGATCAAATCCATCAATCAATCAAGCAAGCAATCAACACACAAGTAAGTCAACAACCAATATATCTCTTTCAAGCAATCAAGCAGTCAACAAATAAATCAACTAATCAATCAATCGAAAAACAATTCATAAATTTATAGTGGTACAATATTATTTTTTTGTTTGCCTGTTTAATTTGCCAAATTAATTTTGTTTTATCATGTACTGTACGTCGCCTTTGTTTGTGGTTTTTGTTTTTGTTTTTTGTTTTGGTTTGTTTTTATATATAAAATATCAAAAATAGTTATCATTGTTCTGGGGATTAGCCTCGACAGGCCCCTGGCCTTTTGTTGGTCCCCCCGCCCCCCCACATGTTTTTTTTTGTTATATCTCATGTATATTTAGTTGTTCTGTGTTTATGGACTTTAGATTTTGTTTGCTATTTGTTTCTCATAATATTATTGTTTGTTAATTTTGTATTACTTTGCATTTTTTATATGTCTGAACAAGTATGTTTACTTGTTTTTATGAAACACATGTGGAAATAAAACTTGAACTTGATCTAATTCTATCCATCAAGCAATCAAGTAGTCAACAAATAAATCAACTAATCAATCAATTAATCCATTCATTTATTGATGGATCTAATTCTATCCATCAACCATGCAACCAATCCATCAAAAAGACAATCATTTTATTGAGCTACTCAATCATCAATTAGCTTTCAGATTACAAATTTGTTTACATAAAACGTACAGAATGATAATAACTCATGTATTTTTGTATTCATTTTTTTTATTTATTTCATTTTGTCAATGTTTCAACTTTCATTAAATCATGCAGATGATGGACAATGCATATTCTCATCTTGATTTCAAACTAGTGAATAATTTTCATATGAGGAGGGGGGGGGGGCGAGAGATATATCTATATCTGCTCCTAATCCTAGTAACGTCCAAACAGTCATTCAATTGTCTACCATTTGTATCAGATTTGTATGGCATTAACTCTGTATACAAGGGTCACAATTGATGCACTAACATTTTTGTTTGTACTATTTTCATCATTCAGAACCAAAATCACATTAATTTTTGTGCCAATTCATTGGAAAATCTTTTCACACTTGGACCGAATAGTGTGCAGGGGTTCAAGTTGATAGATATGTATTTCACTGCCGATTTCTATGCATTGTCTAAATAATTGTTCTTATTCCTAGAGTCCATGTATCAATAAATGGATTTGCTCATGCATGAAACAATGGTAACTAGTTTTTCAAAGCAATATAAAAATAGAGTACTAAATTTCATTTACAAACATTTGATCTCAAATTTGTAACATAACAGATTGCACATGAATACAAATATCATACATTTCATTACATTTCTTTCAATTTTAGAATCATTGTAATTAGCCGTCTTGCCAGTTAAGTCTTGCATAGTGGTGAAGTGTGACGTCATCAAAAATCTATGTTCAGAATTTCTTTTAAAAATTCTTAATTTTCTGAAAGAGCATCAAAAATAAAGTCCAAATTTCGAAAGCCAATTGAATGTGTTAAGTATTGACTGAGATATGACCATCTGAATAAATAAATTTATATACAAACTCAGTGTTATTTTGCTCTGGTTCATAACATTACGAGCCAAAGCAAAATAACACTGAGCTCCTATAGGAAATCTTTTTATTCAGAATCAGATGGTCATATCTCAGCCAATATTTAGCATATTCAATTGACTTTCGACATTTGGACTTTCTTTTTGATGCTCTTTTGGAAAATGAAAAACAAATTGAGAAATTCTAAAACAGATTTTTATGATGTCACAGCTTCGGTACTCTATAGATGACAGAGAGACCCGCCTCAGCTATCTGGAGGGTAGAGTTTGATAAGATGAGAGAGTTCCGAAGGATAGCGGGTCACCGGGCAGCGCTGGTTCTTCTTGATGTAGGGGTAGATACAAGGGTAGCAGAACACATAGCTGCCATTAAAAAAAATAAGAAATAAATGATATTAGTTATTAGTTCTGTACTTGTTCCAAATGCTAAATGAAGAAATCACATTTGTCACATCCCTGGCTTTTGACTAATGAATATATTTATGTGATAAATGATAATGCTTATCATAACTTATCATAACTTGTGTCACCATGTAATTAGTATCTGAATTGATTTTTAGTATGAGGAATACATGTTTAGAAATCTCTTACCGGACCAAAATAATCAGATGTTCATCATTTTTGTAAATATGGAAGATATATAAATAAATGAATAAATATAATTTCTTTAAAAATAAACATTAGAAATAAACATCAAATTGAAAAATGTGAAATTTAATACTGACAAAAGAAAGGAGAGTGAAATGTATCATTATTTAGAATATTTACCCTGATGTTAAGAGAGTAGTATCATTAGTTCGCTTCTTTTGGCAGAGTGGGCAAAGCGTGACGTCCCTTGGTAGAAGAATCTGGCAGTATTCTGGCTCACGCTCCTGTACAACAACAAAACATAAAAGGAACTGTTTAGTCCGATGTTCTGAAGTGATCATTATGAATCATATAGCCTGTCACATAGGCAGGTTAGTCAGATAGCCAGGTCAGTTGGATAGCCAGGTCAGTCAGATAGCCAGGTTAGTCAGATAGCCAGGTCAGTTGGATAGCCAGGTCAGTTGGATAGCCAGGTCAGTTGGATAGCCAGGTCGGTCGGATAGCCAAACTGGCTTTCATGCAGGATAAGTGTCATAATTAATAACTAAATCAGGAAAAATACATAGCTTGGTGGCTATTTAATAAGTACCCTGCTACCTATACAAATTTCAGACTGATTTGACATCAGATCACTGTTAAATATTGCAGGAGCAAATCCAGGGTTTTGTCAAAGGAGGGGGAGAGGGGCATATTTCTGTTGTTGTGTACTACAGATATGCAAATGAGTTTCAAAAGGGAGGGCATGGGCCAGTTGTGGGCCCCACAGAGTTGACACTGGTTATTCATATCTCAAATCGATCACTTTTTCCATGATAATACTTCACCTTAGGCGGTTCAGGGATTGGCAAAGAAGTGGCAGCCAACGCAGACTGGTGATCCTCACTCATGTACCACCACTCCAGGAATTGAAGGAAGAAGACACCCACAGACAGACCGTTTGAGATAGCGATGGCAACCGCTCCTACCAGTCTCTTCAGGTAGTACAGTAATCTTGCTTTCAAGCTGGAATACAATAACATAACAAGAGATAAGAATAAAATTTTATAAGAAATATCCATTCCAGAAATAATAATCATCATCATCACCCTTTAAAGTCCATTTTCCCAATGCTATGGGGTTGACCATTTCATTTCCATTATGGACATGATGTTTTCATTTGACTATGAGACATTGCTGAAATGAGGTTGAAGAGGTAAGGGAATGAAGAAAGTAACCCATTTGAAGATTTGCTGAAAATACCAATTTTAGAATATCTTCTTTTATGTCCCCTTGTTCACAATTTTTGTCACTAGTAAGTAAATATCTGAAAACTTGCCTGCAACTCTCCATTCTAAATTGTCTACCAACATCTATGGGACATGGGTAAACTAATTAACTTGTTTAGATGAAAGGCATTTCTCTGACTTCAGAAGAGGGCTTACAATTCATTTAATGCATTGTTGGAATCCTATTTCAATGTTCTATTGATGCAAAGATGTAAATTACATGTAGTTTTTTTATAGGAGCATAATTACCTTGAATCTGCAGATAGGATAGCATCACTGGATAACCCTAATAGCATGTCTTCCTTTGATAAGTACTGTAATTGCACACCTGAGAATGAACGGGCAACAAAGAAAGAAACCATATGAAACAGGCCATTTATGTTTTTTTTTTCTTTGGAAAAAGGAGGAAGGGATGTGAGACTTTGAATGCAACATCATTTTGAGCATACATTTTCATGGGGGTAAAACAGCAGAAAAGGACACTATTATAGAACAACTGTTCCCTGGAATTCACCATAACATCCCCCTCAAATAACTATTCCCAAGGGCAAAGCCCCTTCTCCCCCAATCAACAAATAACGCCCCCCCCCCCTCCCCTGAAAAAAAAAAAGCACCGAGGTTATCAGCAACGGGGAATGGGTGTTCATTGGCCATAGGACCAATAGAAATACTGGGAGTTAACTTTGAAACTTACCTGCTAGTTTGAGGAATGGAGAATGAACTGGTGACTGCTTAAAGAGGTATCTTAGCTGATAGACCAGTACTGAGGACTGTGTGAGAAAAGTGAGATAGAGAGCAAGCATTTATTTGTAAACACATGCACAGGATAATATAAACATTTAGCATATTACAGAGAGATATACAACGAGGGCTACATCAATGGTTGAATTGAGTAGACAGACAGATATTTAGGTACCAAGACTTTAAACACATCAAATTAGATTTATTTGCCAATGTCTAATGAAAATGCCTTTCCCCAACAACTTTGGGATAGAAAATTGTATTCAACCACAAATGTTTAGTTTGTCTTTATTTGAGGCTAGGAACTATCTAAGACAACTGAAGGCATTACATTCTATTCTTGTTAGGCAAAAGATTTTTGTATTTTTTTTTTTTTTTACATTGTATTACCTATCTGCTCTGCTTTACAATGAAATAGTATGATAAATTCAAATGCAACAAAAGTGTATCTTCTATAAAACATATTTTCCTCTATAAGAATTAATGCATTGCACAAAGACATTGAAATATTTTTCAAACTATAAACATAAAAAACAGCACTTACTTCCCAAGACAAATGCAGGTAGGGGTACAGAGCAAGAAAGATTTTCTTGTATTTCTTCATAGTTTGCCTCCCTCTATCATTTAAATCCAAGGATTCATCAGTCCACTTCTGAAATTTGGCATCTAGTTTTAGCTTGATATATGGAACAACAACCTAGTAAAACAAGAAGGAAAACAATGCATCTGTAATTTAAAACTACACAAAATATCATCCAAAGCTTCTAAAGCACTCAAATATAAGCCCTCAAGCCCACATTGAGCAGTGTCACACTTTTGCAGAATTGTTGGCATTTTCTTTTGATCTATAATGCTAATATAGGCCCTAATTTAACAAATAACAATTGGTACATATAACCATTTGGTAAGAGCAAAATTCCCTAAAATCAACCAGGAAACATGTTGCACTTCTCAAAAGAAAAGATTTTCTAAAGGAAATTATATAACATTAAAATCTTTCAATTGGCAACATCTACATGAATGATATGAATACAATCTGGTATTCATTTTGGTGCACATTATCATAATAGCCATACATGTTGATTTAGCATATTTGCAGATCCGATTCTGTTTTAAGAATGGACCAAAAAAGTAACCAGTACAAATTTAAGGAGGCAAAGCTTTCTTAAATATCACTTTGTTCAAAAAAATTATTCTCTTCCAATTATTCAGTTCCATCATGGTATGATAGTGATACTATCATTTACTTCATGGAAAATACACAATTGTATAGACATAACATTAAGTATATTTTACTCCACTCACAAGTAATGCTAATGACATCCAGTGCTCTCTCTTGGGAAGACCTTCTGAGATTGAAGGGGCTGCGGAGGTAGAACTGTTGATGGCTACTCTTTTTAGGCTGTAAAAATTCTCTGCAAATGATGCACCTATATGAAGAGAAAGATAGACATAGAGAGTGAGCGGGAGAGTTCTCCCATTGATACTTAACTAACTCAATTATCTTTATCAATTCAAAAAATAATTTTGTAACTGGCCTTCAAAATATTGAAAATAACTTGTATCACAAGCTTTCATTTAAAATAACATAAAGTTTCAATCTGGTAATAATAATATGCTTCAAATCATACACATTGGATTGAAAATTATATAATTATATGAAGTGAAGTTTGAAGTTCATTTATTACACATTTTACATTAAAAAAACGTTTTTTTTGTTATATATACAGGCGTATAAGAGTAGATTTCACACAAGAAAAAAAATTCACACTATTTTAAGTACATTTTGGTTATAGTCATATCCTAAAAGCAAATGGACATACTAGTCTTGGTGAGAAAGTGATGCTGCAGTATGAGATCAAGGATGGAGTATACTTCATCTGACCATCTGTGTAATCTTCCAAACTGGGCAGGTTGATTCTCTGCAAATACCTGATAAAGGTAAAAATAGACTTGCATGATGCACATCCAAATATACCATTACAAAACATTCGGCGAAACAAGATTTTAGTTGGACATGGATCTGTAATATTTGCTGTTCTGTGTGTGTAGTGTAAAACTTGAATTGCATTAAATAATATGATTACATGCCTTTTGAAACTGTAAAGATTCTGTTATGTTACTCCAAGTAAAATACCTCATAGGCATTTACAGTACACCGAGATTATCCCTTGTAACGTTTGCAGGATATGAGAAAAAAGAAAGAGGGGACTAAAAATGGGGGTAGAGAAAAGGAAGAAAAGGAGAGGTAAAAAGGAGATTTGAAAACAGGAGATACAGGAGAGAAGAGGGGAGAGTGACAGAGAGAAAGGAGAGAGAGAGAGAGAGAGAGAGGGGGGGGGGGAGGTGTAAGAGACCAAAGGGAGGGGAGAAAGAAATAGTGGAGATAACAGAATAGTCAAATATATATTAAGAGAGATGAGGGGAGAAAGAGGGGTATGATGTTGAGGTAAGGGCTAGAGAATGAGAGGTGAAAGAGAGGGCAAGCTAAGGAGAAGGGGTAGAGCTAGAGGAAAAATAACACAGATCTCACCTTCAAGAAATATGATAGAGCAGGTCTAAGAGTCACCATCAAGCTCTCTTGAGCAAGAACCTCAAAATAAGATGGACGGTTGTCGGTGGTCGCAGAGGTAAGATGAGCTCCAAACTCTGCCATGTTGATAGTGAGCTGGATTCTCACTTTTAAGATGCAATGAACTTGAATGAAGTCACCCTATATTTATCAAAAAGACATTATGCATGTTAAATCACTGGTGTTTTTAATACTAATTGTTGCAAAGATGCATGATGTAGGTCGTGGGACTCCATGACCATGCATTATAACTGCATCTAGATGGTAAATAGAACGTAAAAATGCTATCAAATATGTGCATCAGTCACTCTCGTGCTACGTCCACCCATGTTCATCTTACCATCAACCTCTGAAATAGACCCTAAATGCCAAATGGCGTATGGCACCTTTTCTGAAATGGACCCTAATGAAACCACTCCGGCAAAGCATACGTGTAGAGAGTCGATGCTCATGCGTATTGACCTCTAGCACTGCACTTCGTGTTAATAGGCAGCATTTGAATACATGAATAGTCAATACACTCACAACACACAAATGCTCCCAATCATGCCGATGCGGCTGATCGGCAAGTTTGACAGTAGACTCACAATTTGAATTTTTAAATTATTCTTTCTAACATCAGAAATTTGAAAAAAAAACTGTATTTTACTGCTATTTAGGCGTCATCAATCGTCAAAGTACCGATTTTTAGTGAAATTAGTTGAGTTTTGTACAGTGGTGTTTGAAATGTTGAGAATCAATAGCACAGCTTTTAATACACAGCCAGGATGGTAATGCACCTATGTGTGAATGAAACCTGTGAACCTGAAAAAAGGTACCTGTACCCTTCTTGGGGTGTTTGTGCGATCAGTGCTTGAAAATGTTGGGATTGTCGAAGGAAAATTTGTATTGTTAATGTTATTGTATTAAACGAACTGAAACTTAAACTTAAAGTTTGACTCATCATAGTTATATAATCAAATATTACAAGAAGATCGAGACTCTTGTTTACCTTTTATGTGCTCCCTGGAGCTGGCCCTGCATATTTTCAATTTCATTAAATTTCTATTTTTCAGCAATATTAATTGCAGCCAGGCTGTTTTTAAGGTTAAATGAGATAGTTGAAATGCAAGACAAAGTCAGAGATGTTCTTCATATGATCTAGGAGTAACTGAGAATTCTAAAAACGTAAAGTTTCTAAGCATATGAAAATAAACCAATAAATTGTCGACTGGAGCTTGGAGCCTGGCCTGGCCTGGCCTGGTAAAAACAACACAATCCAGCAGCGAGAGGAAGAGTCCACCCACCGCTGGACTAGCGGCCTGTCGATCGCTCGAGCGTGTCCGCTCTAAACTTGCGCCCCATCTATTAAAGTTGCGCGGGGATTTCAATTTCATAAATTGTTCGAATTAAATAACATACTTACCAGTTACCTCACGATGCAGCGTGACATAAACAGCTTTCCTATTCCTCCATCTTTTAGGGCGAAGCTGAATAATGCTGGATTTAGTTCTGTTGCTGATGTGTTGGAGCTAAAGCCATCAGAACTGAGCAAAGGTGAGCAAGCAAGCAGCATCCCATTCATCAAACTTTTGTGTTCAGTCCCATTTAATGTTAATTGTGTTGTGATCTGTTGCAAGTATGTATGTTGCATGAGACCGAGTGCAGTGTTAACAAATTTATCTAGTCGCAGCTTATTAAGTAAAATTCAGTTATCATGAAGCGTGGCTCATATTGATGGACGAAGCCAATATACTTGAAAATAAACGAAATTGAAGATATTCATTTAAAAATGTGTCGGTCATATTCAGTCATTTCACTTTCAGTGACAGTCACAGTGTCTTTTTAAAATAGTGAATTTGAAAGAAAATATTTATTGGTGCTGGGAAGTTGGGAACAATACTCGATAGGATTTATACTTATTGTTATAGGGTCAATAGCTTAATAATTTTGAATTTAATTAAATGGACTCTCAATTTGAATCGTTCCAAGCTTTCTATAGTTTCTAGGTCTAATAAAGACTTTATTTGTCTTCTTTTCCAGAAATTAATGATATATAGATAGAACTAGATCTAGTCTAAATCTAAATTATAATTTTGTACTCTAGCCCAAGACCACCTAGAAATTCAATACCTCAATTATCTGAATTTCTGTAATCATTTACTATCACCCCTTCTTAATCTTTAATATTTTCAGAGTTAAATATTTCTAAAGAGGATGCCCTTGAGCTGATCAAAGCATTCAAGTCAGGAGCAAGTAATCCTCTGGTGCTAGAGAAATCCCACCTAGAAGACAAAGGGTCACCAAAAGGCTCGTCACCAAGCACAAGGTCTTCAGATGTCGCATCCAACAAACTCCCTGTTACAAGCACGTCAGGTATAATAAATGAGAGGATCCATCCGGTTTTCAATCTGTTACATTTAAATTCAACCTTAAAGTTCAAACGAGTCAACGGTTTAGTTATTCATTACTTCATTCATCTACAGGTATTTCTAATTCTATCACCCTCAAAGTCATAATGATTAATACCAACTATCTAGCAATGTACGTTGCATCTTTTTGTTTATTAATCTATCCTACATATTGACCCATCCATCTACCCATCTATCCATCTAGGCATCTACCCATATGTTAATCTATCAAATTTAACCACCTACCAATTGATCTATTCGATCATCTACTAATCCATCCTTCTAGACAGTCATCTATCCATCCATCCATCTAGGCATTTACCCATCTATTCTCCAATCCACCCATACATCCTTCTACCCATCCACCCACTCATCCGGCCATTCATACATTCTTCTACCCATCCACCTATATATCATCCATCCATATACCCCTCTATTATTAAACTAGATACCCATTAGTCGATTACCCATCTATCCATCCATCCTTGCATCCTTCTACCCTACAAACCACACACCCATCCAGCATCCATCCATCAAACCACCAACATATCGAGGACACTGTTAATTATTTGATGACCCCCCCCCCCCCCCCCCCTCCTTTAACTCTCCAATCCTGCAGGTGGAGGAGATGGAAAGAGAACAGCTACAGCTTTTGAGATGCTTCAGAAAGAGCAGTCTCTTCCTCCGATCATCACGTTCTGTGAGGAGCTGGATGAGATGCTAGGAGGCGGTGTACCCATGTGCAAGATTACAGAGATCTGTGGGGCTCCTGGTGTAGGCAAGACACAAACATGGTAAGCTACCTCCATATTATATTATTTCAAAACCAAGAGTCTGAAGGTCATGATAATCTATAAGAATTTTTTTTATTTTTTATTTTTTATTTATTTATTTATTTATTTTTTATTTATTTATTTATTTATTTATTTATTTTTTTTTTTTTTTTTTTTTTTTTTGGGGGGGGGGGGATTTTATTCCATATTATAAACAAATAGAAAATTATACAGTAGGCTTACGGTTGCACCATGTGAGAGAGAGGGAGAGGATTGGGGAGTCCTGAAAAGAATTGATTGCAAAGAAATCATAGAGAATACCAATTTGTTTAGGAATCTACACAACTTCAGAATAGATATTTTTTTTCTTCAGATATCTTAAACTTTTACTGACTTGCCTTTCTGATTTTTCTACATTTTAATTTTACTAAGTAAGCTTAGACATAAAAGAAGGTAGAAGTGGTCAAACTTGTGTTAATTCCTTATGTCATTAGCATCCAGCTGTGTGTGGATGTCCAGATACCGGCCAGTCTTGGAGGGGTCGAAGGTGAAGCAGTATACATTGATACAGAAGGCAGCTTCATACCGCAGAGAGCATGGGGCATAGCTCAGGCTGCAACAGAACACTGCCACACTATGGGAGATCAAGCAGGTATGTGTGAAGGGCATTTCACAAAACTTGTCATCAGTGATAAATGACAGTTTTTTTTATTAAGCTACTGAAATCCTTGCTTCTGATGGGTTATCAGTAGATTTGTCACTGAAAAAATGCTTTGTAAAACGGGCCCCTGGTGTGTTACACTGGTGTGTTGCTTGCAGGTGGCATCGAGGAGCGGGGGGGGGGGGGGGGGGGGGGGGGGGACGACTACATTCTTACTCACCCGATGCCCCCTGTTTTTCCTCTTCAAAAATGTTGTAGACAAACATTGGTATGTTTGTGTTTGTTTTGTACACCCCCCCCCCCCTCCCTCCCCCTTCATTTTGAGTATGTAATAATAATAATAATAATAGGCATTTATATAGCTTCATCTATTTAGACAATTCTTTTCCGAGGCACACAAGAAAAATAAAAAGAATAAGAGAACTCCTGAATGCATAGTCTTTTTAAACAAGCTTGAAACATACTTGAACGATATCTCATTAGTTAAGCATAAAAAGATCCATCTAAATGATCAAATTCATAAAAGATTGTACATTATGCTCACTCTTTTTCTGATTTAAAATAAAAGTGAATCATATGCTATTATGCTGACTAATGGCATAACTTAAGCTTTATTATGTACCGTAGTTCTGTTTAAAGCAAATAGAAGTTTAATGAACTAAGTGTGGAATTCATCAATTAGCCTGTAACACATCAAATGTAAACATTTAATTTTGTCCATGTACATCCAGCTTAATGTAAGGGGGTGGTAGATTGTGACGGGTAGCCGGAATGAGTGGGGGTAGACCTCGGACAATACAGATGGCAATGGCAGCCTGAGGAGTAGAGTTGGTGCTCTTTATTCTGTAAAGGACACACCGCTATAAGCGGGGTGGGAACGGGGTCGAGTAATGATAAACAGTTATCAATTACAAGAATAAACAACGACACATCTTTCAGCATTATGACAACAAAAGGTAAACAGTGTTCACTACACTAAAACATTTGAATCGTTAATAACAATAACTTTAACTTATTTAAGACAATGCAAATGCCCAAAGTGTATAAGCTGGATCAAATACAAATTCCTAACATAATTAATCAAACTTAAAAGATCATAATTCTTCGTTAATCAGGTTTCTCTACACCAAAACCTAACACATAGTCATTAGCGCCCAAGTTCCCGACTACAATAGTCACACTCCAAGGCCCAATTGACCGTACACACAAATGCATTCTACACGTACCCGTACAGGCATAGCCTACGCATCCATTTCCTCTACGTGTAATCTACTTGTACATTGAGAAGTCACACCCTCTGAGCATTACGTAACAACAATATCGCCTTAAATTACACCTTTCTGTTAACAAATATCATGTTCTTTGAACATATTTTTAAGCCTTATAATAATACTAATTCGTTTAAACCAGGATATGAACAAAACATAGTAACAATATTATCAAATATAACAATTTAAACACACATAAAAACTAAGCCTTGCTTACCTATAAGCGGGGTGGGAACGGGGTGAAGGTCACGGTTCTAAAGCCCGCCACCAACGACCTCCTAACATTAAGATAGATACTAGATGTAGCAGAAAACACTGTACAATATTTTGACTCAATTTTGTTTTGTCAAGTATGAATTCAGATATTCACCATCTTATACCATCCTTAACCTAGCTTTGTTGTCTTCTTTCTATCTCTGCCAGAATTGAAAGACTTTACAACTGAGAAGATTTTGTCTGGAATCCATTACTTTCGTTGTCATAATCATGTGGAGCTCCTTGCACTTGTCAATCTCTTGCCAGAATTCTTATCCAAAAACCCCAAGGTAAGGACTTACAAGATTAGTTGGCTAAAGATATGATGTATCAGTCACTGAAAAGGATGTGTATTTATTTTTGTTAGCATCTGAAGGATTGTAATCTAATCCAGAAAGTATTCTATATAGATTTCTTTTGTGTGCAGTAAGGAAGCTTTGCCCAGAGGGCTGCACACATTGGGATCATTTCAACAGTAACAGTATGGATTCTTGGAAATGAATTGAAAAAAATGTACTTTTATCAACTTTGAATTCAAACAGCCTGGACATTCATCCCTTGAACATTACAAAATGAATACGTACCTTAATAACTCAAAAGGATTTTGAAAATCAAATACTTATGATGAGTTAAGAAAGTGACTATTCAAAATGGCATGAACAATTTCTGATGACGGATCCAGGATTTTGTAATAACATTGGGGGCACAATTCTGATAAAATGTACAACGTTACTTTGTGTAACTAAGGTATGGCAATTGGTTATGAAGGGGGGATACAGGGTAGTTGTGCCAACCCCCCCCCCCCTGAATCTGCCACTGACCGTTCTATCTCTCCTCCTGAAAAAGATGTTAAATTTAGTTTCATACTAAATGTTTATTTTCCAGGTAAAACTGATCATTGTGGACAGTATAGCCTTCCACTTTAGACATGACTTTGATGACATGTCACTTCGTACCAGACTTCTCAATGGACTAGCACAGAACTTTATCAGGATTGCTACACAATACAACCTGGCAGTAAGTCTTTCTTGAGCTGGCTTCTCTGCTCTGACAATGGCAACATTGAAAGGAGTCTTACTCCTTATTCACGCAATTAGTATCATTGAGTTTACCGTTTCCAAATATTCTAGCCATTAACATGAACTATTCATACAGGTATTTCCAGAAACTATCTCCAAATAGTGATAGTCTGTGAAAATCAGGTTTATGTTTATTTGCTTTTTTGTTTTTGTTTTTCTTTCCTACCTTTATGTCAAGGTAAAATTAAAATATAAACGTTGGGCCATATTCTTTAAAATTATCTTTTATGTTTAGGGCTAAATATTTTTATTTTTATTTTTGTGTGGATTTGCATAGGGGATAAAAATCACTTATTCATGGTGCTTGCGTATATATCTTTTAACTGTACACATGTACGCAGCTAGTTTTGTCCTAGAGTTGATTTGTTTTGACAATTAACATTTGTTTTAATACTGAAAAAATATAATAGTTTTCAAAATATCACCCTTGATTGTTCAAAGAATAATCTTACCTAACTTTTAAACCTAAACCACTATCCACTTTAGAGGGCCACCAATTCTGACCCCTCCGCCCTTTTTATCTACTGAGATCAGGTTGTACTGACCAATCAGATGACCACCAAGATAGGAGAGGGGACGTCTCACCTCATCCCTGCTCTAGGAGAGAGCTGGGGCCATGCCTGTACCATCAGACTCATATTATACTGGAAACAGGCACAAAGGTAATACAATTAACACAAAATCTTCAATTTCTGTAATATAATTTCAGTTATATAGTTTATATTATATAGTTTATATTATATTTTAATTTTACCTTGACATAAAGGTAGGAAAGAAAAACAAAAAACAAAAAAGCAAATAAACATAAACCTGATTTCACAGACTATCACTATTTGGAGATAGTTTCTGGAAATACCTGTATGAATAGTTCATGTTAATGGCTAGGAAGATCTTTGAGCTGACAAAGGACGTGAGACTGACTGGACTCATCCAGACGTTGCTGTCCAATCGGCGATATTTTGTGGTTCTCAATGGGAATCACAGCAGATGGCGCGGACAGAAAAATGGCCTACCACAAGGAAGTGTGCTCGCACCGTTACTCTTTAACGTGTACACGAATGACCAACCGATCCACCCAAACACCAGGAGCTTCCTCTACGCCGATGATCTCTGCATCGCCACCCAGAACCAGTCTTTTGTGAAGTTGGAGGAGTCCCTCAGTGATGCCCTGGCCGGTCTCATCCCATACTATGCGACCAACCACCTGAGAGCTAACCCTGATAAAACTCAGATAAGCGCATTCCACCTCAAGAACAGGGATGCCAACCATCAACTAAGGATCAGCTGGTATGGGAAAAGGCTGAAGCACACTCCCAACCCAGTCTACTTAGGCGTCACACTCGATCGCTCCCTTACCTACAAGAACCACATTGCCAACACAAAGGCAAAAGTTGGAGCCCGCAACAGCATCCTCAAGAAGCTAGCCAACACCAACTGGGGGGACTGATGCCAGAACAATCCGGACGACAGCCCTCGCGCTTTGCTTCTCTGCTGCGGAGTATGCATCACCAGTATGGAGTAGGTCGGCCCATGCACCCAAGATTGACCCAGCTCTAAATTCATCTTGCAGAGCGATCACTGGATGCCTAAGGCCAACTAAAGTAGAAGACATCTACCTGCTCTGCGGTATTGCCCCTCCACACGTCAGAAGGTTGGTCTTGTCCCAGAAAGAAAAGGACAAACAAGAAAACAATCCACTCCACCCACTCTTCGAACAACAGCCAGTGGGCAAGCGGCTCAAATCCAGACACAGCTTTCTGCACTCGGTAGAGCCTCTTAATACTAGCCCTCACAACCAAAGGATGACTTTGTGGTCTAACCACCTTCAGACCACTCCACATAAACTCTCCCTCAGCCCGAAGGAATCCCTCGCAACCGGCTCCCGTGAGACTTGGCCTACCTGGCTTAGCCTCAACCGCCTAAGAACTGGCTACGGTCCATGCAGAGTCCTAATGCAGAGGTGGGGTCTAGGAGACGAACAAACGGCATGTGAATGCGGCCAGGAACAGACAATGGAACACCTGCTAGTCTGCCCACTCCTGCCAGAGCCATGCACCCAAGATGACCTGGAAGCCGTTAATTGCCGTGCTAAAGCCTGTGTGGACCACTGGACGGGACTTGTGTAGTGACTCGATAAGAAGAAGAAGAAGTTATATAGTATATTGTATTGTGAATTAAATTCAAATTGAAATGAAATTTGATTTTTTTTTTTTTCTTTTTTTTTCTTTTCTTTTTTTTCTTTTTTTTTTCTTTTTTTTTTCTTTTTTTTTTCTTTTCTTTTTTTCTTTTTTTTTTTCTTTCTTTTTTTTCTTTTTTTTTTCTTTTCTTTTTTTTCTTTTTTTTTTTTTTCTTTTTTTTCTTTTTTTTTTTTTTTTTTTTTTTTCTTTTTTTTTTCTTTTTTTTTTTTTTTTTTTTTTTTTTTCTTTTTTTTCTTTTTTTCTTCTTCTTCTAAAAAAAAAAAAGTTTCTTTCTAGAGAAACTGGCTTGAAATAATTTTGAATTGCTTGTCATGCAGTAGATGACTTGTTTAGACCAGCAGAAAGTAGAGAAATTCACAAAAACTTAAATCTGGATATCACATTAACGGAACATAGAACACAACTCGCACTTTAATATGCACTCGGTTGGAACTACGAGCTCAACTTTTTAAAAATCTTTCTTCACTCATTTTTCTGCTTGTATACATATTCTACCAATTTGCAATAACATAAAGTCTTTAATATTTTGGTGTAACTTTTGTTTGATTCTGTGAGGATACATTATATTGTATTGTTATTAATAAAACTCGAGTCTTGACCTTGACTTCAGGAAACTTTGATTCATCGATCACTTGTCTAATGTTCTTGCTTCTTTCTCTTTTTCCATCACAGATATGCCAACTTGTACAAGTCTCCCTCCAAACAGGAAGCAACAGTACCCTATCAAATAACAGTAAGTGATCCCCGCTCTCGTGTTACTGGAGGGTCTCTTTTTGCTGAAATAATAATATAATCACAGTATTAAATCAAGTAAGCCTAACATTTAAATTGTGGTAATACAAAATTATCACCAAACTATTAAGGTACAAAGCATTCTATGAAAAGGGAACTAAGATTAATATTTACACTGACTATTAAGTAATTTGGTTTGAGTTAGTTATAAAGTACCACATCTCCTTGTGCACAAAGTTACCCTAATTCTTTAACTCAATGAAGGAACAAAAATGCCATCATGAAAGTAATTCCTCATATTTATTTCATGACCAAATTAATTTGCTTTATTCGCCTCGAAATAGAATTATGTGCCCTGGAATAGAATTGTCTAGATAGATGGCGCTATATAAATGCCTATTATTATTGTTATTCATTTCTTTGAATAACATAGACATTTTGGCACGTGGCATGCTAAGATTCAGTAGACAGAGTTAAGTCAGTCCATAATATTCAGTAGAAATATTCTTGTATTTTGTAATAAGTCTATATTCTTGTCCGTTTAAAAACTTGAAAGATCAAGTTTGTTGGACTCTCTCATGAGATAATCCTGTACATTTTACTTTGTGTAATACAGCAAGCTGGAGTGCGCAGCATATCAAGTCATCCCAGAGATTCAACGGAAGGCGGAGCAGGAGACAGAGACCAAGGAGCCTTTAAAGATCACCATGGAAACCAAGATGGCGGCATGGATAATCCCAGGAAGAGACTACGTTCGGAGGATCCAGTGACCTGAAGGAGAAGCAGGACTCTCCCATCATGTTTTGTGCTGTAAGGTATTTGAGACGTCTTTCCCCGATGCCAATGGTTTTTGTTGACCAGTATCTGTATCAACATTTCTTCCGTGAGACGAACTATTCTACATTCCTAGGTATGTAGACCTACCTGTCACTAATGCTTGAGCATTGAATACATTGTATTTGTCTTGAAAACTTTTGGAAATTTTAGTACAACTTTATTGAATTAATTTGCAGTGATACCATTTGCCAAGCTCTGCAACTCAATTTGTAATAGATCTTGGGTTTTCTGTCAGATTGTGAACTTACATTATGATACCGTCAAAATTGAAACTTTAATGAGTATCATTTAATGTTTTATTATGCATGAATCTATTTCCAATTTTGGACAAACATACTACAAAGTTTAAAGCAAACTTGATGTATCTCAGTCGAAAAACTTTTGTATTTACTTTGTGGTAGCTTATAAATGTGGAAGCCCTTGTGGATCTGAAAAAGCTGTTTATTTAATACTGTCCTGTGAGGTGTCTGATTTTAAAGATGGATTGTAAAATTGAAAGAAAAGATCAGAAACAAAGCTGCCTGTGCACAAATGATAACACATGTCATGGGGAATAATCACTCACCCTGAAAACCCTCAGAGAGAACACCAGAACTGATAAAAAGAGACATTTTTCTTTCTTATCCATGTATGGATGTAAAGACCACAGTATAATATGTGCCACAAGTTTTTGTCTTCTACCGTAAAGTCTTGCCTTTGTAGTGTTTAAAGTTGTCTTTTGTATGCCATTTAAAAGTTAATATTTCCACTTGGAAGTTCACTAAGTTTAGGTTATTGATTGGCAATGTTTGTAGAATGGCTTTGCAAAACTTTGATTTTGACCAGCTGAACTTTTACTTGCAGGTTTCCAATATTTAGGGGATGAGTGAAGAAAATATAATTTAATTCAGATTTTCAACTGATACATCTTTTTAACACACATTGGGCTGTATTCTGAAAACTGTCATCTCTTATGTTAGTGAAAGGCAAATAAACACTTCATATTGGTGCCAGTGGATCTCTAAACGTTTTTGCAAATGTACCAGCTTTGCAGAGACACTAACCGATGACTTGCTTCCGTAATTAGAATTTGTTATGACAATTAGCATATTATCACTAACATAAAAGATAACATATTGTTTGGAATACCACCCCAAAGGAAAGATATAGAAGATGGTAAAACCATTGCTGTTAGACACTTTAACCATTGCAAATATATATAATTTTGAAATAAATCTTTATTCAGAAATAGTTTAACAAACTTATGTCATTTAGTCTTTCTTCAAAATGCATTAACAATATAATTTCATTGCAATAGAATATAAATATATAACACAATAAATGTTCACTTAACTACTAGAAACATAACTAAGATACATTTAATATTAGAGATATGTAGATGTAAACAGAGAGAGAGAGAGAGAGAAAGTAATGGGAAACAAGAGAGAGATATGGAGAGTGGGGGTGAAAGTAGCCGGAGGGAAGGAGGAACAGTTGGACAGGTTGAAGGATGGAAGAGTGAAAAAAAATAATCCTTAGGCATCAGCATCAGTCATAGACAGTTGTGATAAGAAAAACATATCACAAATGCTGGATATTGATGTTTTATTATTGCCTTATCTTGTCATAAAGAGTTTTTCTATCAATAAATGACACTTAGACAATACATAAATATATTCCCATACATTCTTATACCACTTCAAACTTGGAATTGCCTTGCACCCCAACAAAGTAAAACCTTTCCTTGATCTCTTATCTTGTGCATCAGGTGTGAGTTTTTTTTTACCAGGCTTCTTAAAGGCCAGCACAGGCCAGGCCAAGAACTGGAACTTTAGAAAGATCAGAAGAGGTAAGAATGATAAATCGTCCATTATGAATAGTCTAAACACTTCAGGTATAATTGGGTCCTTCCAAATCCTCCCAACTGCTGTGCTGCGGTGTGTCAAGATCCTTCATCATCCTGACTTCAAAACAAAATATGATCCTCTCTTCATTAGTAAAATCTAACAGATCATGACAGTTAACGGTCCAAAATACATTCACAAGGGTGCCTTCAATGGCACTACTTCTTCTTGCTCTTACTGGAGGCACGGCCCTGCTTGCCACTCCCTGGATCGTCTGCCAAGGAGAGTTTCTTCTGAAGAGAGTCATTATTCTGCTGGATCTGGTCAGAGAGATTGATGCGTAGTTTGGAAAGTTCGTCATTGAGCTGTGTGGTGATCAGCTTACGGAGTTCCTTGGTGGTCTCCGATTCCTCTTCTGTGTGTGAAACAATGTAAAGAAGGGCATGTTTATTTTGGTTATTTCCAAAACTGGTCGACCTTCCATAACATAGTGAGGTTAATCATGGTTAACCTTAAAGCATTATCTCATTTTTCATGATAAATTAATTAGCACCAATGTGCATGTATACTTGCAAATATTCTTGATGTTGAAATGGTGCACATTTCCTTCACAATCAATGCCAACCACTTTTAATTTGATAAAAATGCAGACTACACAGGGAATCCTTGACATTACAAGGTAGCTTTATCTTGTCTCATTCCAAGGATAAATAAAACGTTTTCACTGGTTTCACAAACCGACATACACATAGGCTTAAGCACTGTAGATAGATGTACATCAGTTTGCAATGCCAGCATTGTAACATTTTGTGCTCCATAATGTCACAAAATGTTAACCGAAACATGACTATTGATTCATTAACAACTTTGGCTACAGATGGTTACAAACATTAACAGTATGTGTGGTAACTTTGCTAAATAATAATAATAATAGCTACATTTATATTTTGCATTTATCCATTACAGGGGATGCTCTAAGTGCCTACATAGTATTATTACACTGTCTTTCGCATACCTGCCTTAAGGCGGCAACAGCATTCAAGGAATAAATTTCTACCAGGTACCCATTTACTACACCTGGATGGAGAGTAGCAAATGTAGATTAATGTCTTGCCAAATGAAATTAGAGCCGCGGCGGGACTCGAACTGTGAACTATGTGATCCACAGTCCAGTGACGTACATGTATTTACTACACCCGACATCTCTATAATAATGAAGAATGGATTTACCTTCAGGACTGGGTGGTTTCTCTGATTCTCGTCCTTCAGGCGTAATCTGGTCCTGATCTTCTTCCGTAGGCCCATCTGCCTCCTCCTCAATGGCCTTCAATTCTTCCTCTATCAGACAGAAAGAAAATCAGAGTGAGAGATGTGTTTCATGAAGAGTTGATGAAGCTGTTCTATTTAGAAATTCCGCACTTAAAGGGAGTACAATAAATAAGATTCTCACAAAATCAAACTGAGTTTACATGTGTGTTGAAGCATTGAAAGCCAAACAAGTTTGACTAGCTGAACACTGACACACAAAGATAATGACCTGTAAGGAAACTACTGGCTCTTACCACGTTTGTGCATACATGTATATGTATCCATGCTTGGGTACTTTTCATTGTTTGTAGTGTGCAGCAAGTTTTTGTTTAATAAACTTTTAGCCATTTAGATTGTATTCAACATATCTAATACCAGTATCTAATGATGACAGTTCTTACAACTGTTCAGAATGTAGAGCTTCCATCAAAATGATATATTTGTAGGTGTTGTACAGCAAACTGATCAATCGAATTGGCTTCAGGAACCTGTAATTTGTAGCATTATGTTAATTCTAAATATCTACATGTAATCTTTGCAAATATAAAGAAATAGAAAGTTTATCAGCATGACAGAATAGAAAAAGTTTTGAAATACAGCAGGATTTGTTTACCTTGAGTTTGGGGCTCATCCTCTTCTGGCATCCCAGCGTACGAGATTGAGAGGTCCAGCTTGACCAGAGGGGTGAAGACGTATTTGTAAAGCTTGAAGTGGCGGAAGTATGTGTTCACCACGTAATCGATGACAAGACGAACATGCTCATGTCCGAACAGGTTGACACTCCAGGGGGGTCTCTGTTAGGTTACACAACAGTGATGTTGATTATGATAATAATTACCCTGGTTTGTATTTCTGTCTACTTGGGAAATAAATTGTGCATATTTACTCATATGGTGAGTGTCAAAGTTACAGGTCATGATTTTCTCATTTTCATCTCATTTCACAGCACCCCTCCTCCCTCCCCCCCCCCCCCCATTAAAAGACTTTTATGAATATATATATATTCTATAAACATTTTCCTATAAATCTTTGCACCTGTGCATGCATGCAGAATCTTTCATAATCGTACCTCTGAGTCCATCCACTGAGAATGGTACTGATCGTTGGTTGATTCAACTACTCTTACCGACACTTATCACTTTCTTTTCCTAAATCTTTTAAACACCAGCTTGTATAGTTTTGTGATTCATACTCTCTATATGTCAAAACTAATGTTACAAAATTATCAATCCAACAACAAGATAAATAACAAACAAATAAATAAATATAAATATATATAATAGATAACTTGAAATAAATAAATAAAATAGATAATTTTAAAATAGATAATTTAAAATAATTAAATAAAATAGATGGTAGACAGACTTGTGTTTCAAACTTACCAAAACTGCATGACACAGCACAAGTTCTTTGAAGTAGTCATAGCACTGCTCAACATTTCCAAATGGAGTTTCTGGAAACAAAAAAATATATGCATATTTTTGTGTAATCTGAAGAAATGAAACAGGCTATCTCTAATCTTTGAATGATATGAATCTGTACAATGTTCCTCATTACTTTACTGATAACTCAATTTTTGTGTAAAAAAAAGTAAAAGATGCTTAAAATTAATTATTTGGAATGTTCTGAATCGGATGAAATATGGATAAACATACTCACCAACACAGACCATATGTGTTTTCTTCACAATGGAAAAGAAAACAGAGAGCTGTTCCTTGGTGAAATTATGATTCAATGCAAACTGTGTGGCATAGAAGTAGAGATCAAGTAGAGCAGCAGATCTAGGATTCTCCTTATAGTCAGTCAGGGAAAAATGCTCCGCTAAAATCCTGATTTTGATAAAAATGATAACAATACAATTGCTAAAATGACTTTCCAACTTTTCATTGAAAGTGCTATAGACCCTATATAATGTGATAATAACCAAAAGTAGAATGATGAATGAATACATAGTATTTTTTTTTTTTAAACAACTGAAGTGAGAGCCGTGAGTTTCTAACATTGTTATTTATATGTGTAATATTGTGACTGCAATGTGTTGATCTAGCTCTTCTTCCTTCATTTGTCTGTAGATTTGTGTAATCCTTGAACCCCCTTCAGAAACCAGCTGTGCCCTTGGGGCGACTGAGAAGATTCATTGCTTTTATAATTGAAAGTAAATCAAACTCACAGAGGACGGAGAAATGCTCCTTGAATACCGGCATAGAAATGGCTTACCTCTTGACTTCTTCCATATTCACTGCTCCCTTGATCTCTTCAGATTTGTGAACGTCTAAATCAGCCCTGAATGAAATTTATAAAAAAAAACAGCATATTATTTCAATGAATGAAAAATATCTTGTCATGAATGATTATTGAAAAATAATTTCAGTTTGGAAAAAACTATGGATTCATTTAGACATAATATTTTCCTTCAAGTACATAGACATCCAGAGAAAGATTATTACGAAATCAAAAGAATGAAATTTATTTATTTTCAGTCATCAATCAACACATAATTTATATGTTCACCAAATATTTAAACTGTTCTCTTTCCAGCACTGCAACTATACGTTACAACTTTAACTTTACAATATCAGTTTCTGATGTTCACTTTATATCCTTCAATACCTTTAAATATGTGAGCAAGAGTTGTCAAGTACCTCTTTACACAATTATTATTCAAATCAACAAACATACAATTTTCTTACTTTATTTAAAAATTTGATAAAGAAAACCAATAAATCATCAATCTATATCTTACCTTTAAATACTGATAAAAAGTTGAAATTTGATTACAGTTATAATGCAATAAACTATTTTTTTCTTCAAAATATTAAAGGTAATACAAAGTTTTGGTAAATTTTGAAAATTGGCTGGATAGTGATTCCTTACAATTTTGATCAGTATTTGGATGCGCAAGTGGATGTTTTACGAGCATTAAAAAAATTAGCCAACAAAACACTTCTGCTTTCGAGATAAATGGAATATCAAAATTTACCGGTGCTCCCGGTAAATTTTGATAAATTTCAAATAGCGTCTACGGCCATACAATGAAAGCTGCGAAAATGAAAATCTCAGACTATGCAGTTGTGATATATAATTTCCAAACGGGAATAGCCAATTGGTCGATTTCAGTCAAGAAACATTGTTTCGTAGCTAAATCAATATCTTGACCTTGAGAGGGAGCTATACAATATAAAGAATTTATTATTTACAATTTCATCACTTTAGACTCGATTTCAACCGCGACAACGATCACTGAATATTGTAGGATCACATACATGTATACTTCCAAATTTGTTCATTTGAACCAAATTCTTGACCCCATACCAAAACTTTTTATTACCTTTAACTCTTAGATAGAGAACACTAGGCCTATAGAACCTAATACCTATAATAGAATAAAACCATACTCACCATAGGCAGATCTTAGCCTTGTGCTCTTTTGGCTAGAAATCAAATAAGTAAAGAAAGACTTTGGTTTAATTTTAAAAAAATTGTATATGGTTATCACATCTTGCTATCGACATAATTGACTTGGAATTTCGTTGACATGAGTATTATCATCAACACTTAAACTTTAGAATAGGTTTTAGATCTATGCAAATGCGAACCAAGATCAACAAGTAAATCATGTCTTTACTTTGTACTTTTAGTTTGGATCTCAGGCTCAGAGGTTTTAGATTAGTGTTTTACTAAGACTTTGGGTGTCCTGACAGTTGATTTAAAACAGTGATATAAGGAAGTTGACATGCGATATTTCATAAGCCTTCTAAAACTTGTGTTGAAAAATATCATTATACAGGACAAATAGGTCTAGTCTATTCACGATGGTCTAGTCTATTCACGATGGTTAGTGCTATTTCATGAATACTTTTTCCTTAAATACGAAGGCAAAAGAGAAGGCTTTAATTATTTTAATAGTCAAGTCAGTCAAGTGTCCGGACAATTAACCCTCATCTTCTTCTTCTTCTTCTTCTTCCTCCGCTCTATCGGAGATCAGCAGCTACCAGGGTACTGCAGTTTATATAGCAATAAGGTTCATGGTCATAGCAGACAGGATTGTCATGTCAGGTAGAATGTGTATTGGCGATTGCATTAGCACGAGCAGAGTGGATATTGTATAAAAATGACAGAGATGCATTAAGAAGAAGGTTCTTTTGGTTAGGGCAGACAGTTAGAACATTGGGAAGTAGGAGGACTGCCCGCGTGAAGGTCTCAGGGTCATCTGGTGTGAATAGAGCGAGTGTCGACTGCTGTACGTCCCTGTGGTGAAGATTGTTGACCAGCTTCTGGCGATAATTCCTGAGTGGTATGCACTTGGCTATGAAGTGTGTGATGTCCTCCTCTTCCGCTTTGCACACTTAGCAGAATCAGATCGTACCCTTCTTGATTTCACATAGCCGGGATTGAGTTAGGTACGTCTGAGAGAGAAGTTGCAAGCGTACAATGATGGCTTGACGTAGAAAACTTGAGGAGATGGACCTCGGGTAAAGGGGAGCTAGTGTTATTCTCAAAGAAGGAGAGAGATGGTTTTGCATTGATGGCCTCATGAACTTTCTTCTGCATAGCCGAGTTAATTGCAGACCTAGTGACTGACTTCCAGGTAATGTAGGGAATGGGCTTGGAGAGGAGGGAGTGAAGGTCGGTTGGGAACTCATAACTTCTCAGAGTTCTTTTCCAGGTCCTCGCCAAGGAGGTGAAGTTGGTGATAGCATGATGGAAGGCGAACCAGTAAAGTAAAGTCAACAAAACTCTTGCATGATCAGTTGCTTAAAAAAAACACCTAGATTTAAACCTAACCCGTCATAACTCGTAGAGTCTATTTAGTTTCTTCCAACATTGTCCAATGCCAATGCCAATGTTTATTTTGTTTACCTACTAAGAGTTAAACCGTATTTATGATGTATGACTATACTCTACAAAGAGGACTGTACTCAATGGAAGAAGAAGAAGAAGTTTACAGGTATTCTATGTCTTCATGTCAAAGGCCAAAGGCAAAGCAAATACAAAGTGCCAAAGGCAAAGGCAAGCCTAGACCGAAAGCTTCAGTCTCTCTAATCGTCGGTTGTTCCACTGAGACTACGTCTGGCTCCACTAGACCTCCGATTATAGAGACTGAAGTATGTCCCATCGGGACTGTACGGGACTGTACAGAACAAATGGTTCGGTTCGACCGGACTGCGATGAATGAGATATGCAACGAGATTTTCACTCTTTACATCCTCATAACTGCTGCAATTATAATAAAAATTAAAAATAACATATATATAGCTTATTTGACTTACGATAGCTTGCTCATTTAGATCCTAAATTAATGATTAATCCGAGAAAGTCTCGTCATCAACATTATCCGTCTTGGTTTTAGTTGATGAATATTCATTTTTTCTTTTCGAACGTCCAATAGCTATCGTAGCTACGTACGAGTCAGCCTGGCTTGACCAACGAACTCCCACGAAACGAGTGCTCTGATTGGCCATTGGCTATGTTTTGGTAGGAATTGCCCCGGAAATATATATCGGCCGCCGGGTCATATAGCTCTATGTAAGTGCATGAACGTGCATGAACGTACTGTTTCACAGGTCAAAGATACAAATTGGATAATTCATATAAGTAAGTCCGAAAATTTCACATTCTATGATAGGTTAGCAAATTTTGAAAACTGTAATTAGGAGATATATAGACCGACCTAATTTACATCTGATTTAGAAATCAGAAAATTAGATCTAGACCCTAGATCTAGATCTAGAGTAAAGGAGCCGGTAATCGGCCAGCTCCAGTTTTCGGCCAATTGGTTGGATGCAAGGTAAAATCACTCTAAAATACATCGCATAATAGCATAACACATATCCCACTCATACCATACCATGCCAGTGTCACTGAAGAACCACATTTGTAATGAAAAATATATCCTAAAATATCACATTTTAGCGATGTAATCGGCGGTCCCGCTACCCGAATCTGAAAAATCGAGTATCTTACGCGTGTATGTAAGAAATATGGGTACCATAAAATCAGCTTTATTTCAAGTATTTTTCAGATTTAGAGCCCGATTTTGTGTTAGTCGCAAGCTCAAAAGTATCTCATCCCATGTATTAAATCAATGCAGCCGGACCCTGCCACGCACACACGATATGTCTGTCTAATTCAGATTCCAACTTCCGATCACCGCTGTGCCTGTCTTCGGCCAGGCGAGCACCAGGGAGCTCCGGCATGGGATACCTGCTCCGCCCGCTTGTGCTGTACATCAGCGCGGAAACACACGGCGCGCGCGAGCGCTTCCTATTGACTTTGTACATGCGGCCGTAAACTGAAACGCTCGGCCGATAACTGGCTCCAAAACAGTGAAGATTGAAATGAATATTGTCATGGCAATTCGTGATTTTTTTCTGGGATTCTTTTTTTGTTTAAATAATAATAATATTTGCTTCATGATTTGAACAAAAAATGATAATAAATAGGAAGTAAAGGGTCCTAAAAATAGGATTTTGTCTTAAGTGGCCGAAAACGGGCTCCTTTACTCTAGATCTAAATAAAGAAAATCGGGAAGAAAATGTCGTGAACAAAAAGATGTTCATAGCCACCCCTACGGTACGAGATCTCTGGGTTACCATCTGTATTGGGGAATGACAACAAATGTCAGTTTTATCAAAGAAATGACCCAAATCAGATGGTTATTTCTGTCTAAGGCAAGCCGAACTTAAAATGAGTAAAAAAAATCACTTTAAAACAAAAAATAAAAGGCAAAACAAAAGCAGAGACAGCAGTTTCTAAAACACACGACCCTGGCACAACATATTTTATTTTATTTTAATATTACAATAACATTATTTCCATTTAAAAAAAAAAAAAGCAAAAGTTCGAGTCTTCGAACTGCAATTGTATTCCGTTAGCTAAGCTGACATGAATTTCAGTAGATGGGACTGCCTTTGACCAGCTTGCTTCAATGAGAGATATGCACAGTTAATTCTTACCTGTGGTATTTTAGGTACTTCCCCGGGCATTTCACTATCTTTTTTCAATTCCTCTAATATGTAGAAACGTCTCAAAGTAATATTGATAGACCAATCATCAAGGAAGTAGAAATAAAAGCAGAAGTATCTCGGGTACAGTTTACTAAATTCTAAAAGAATAGAACCTGTCAACACAAACTTCCGGTCGTAGCCAAGCCGCAAAGCATCATGGTCTGTCAAACGTCGCGTCGTCTGCTACGTAATCGGACATTCAAAAGAACTACGTTCATTCTCCTACTCGAAGTTTTCCAAAGACATTTTTTAAGAACGATATTGTTTGTAAATAAGTGCACACCTGACTTCATGGTTTATGGTGAAACTGGACGTGGTAAAATACTCGATAAAATTAAGTGTAGAATGATTGGATATTGGGTTAGATTAGTTAAAGGGAAGCAATCAAAGTATTCATTGATTCTCTTAAAGTTTCTGTTGCAGTTGCAAAGTGAAGGACAAAGTTTAATTAATATAAAGTCACAATGGGTTGAGTTTCTTGCAGACAGTTTTGACTATGCAGGACTTAGGAATGTCTGGCGAGCTCAAGGAGAAAGATATAGTGCTGCCTGGATTATGAATACTATGAAAACCAGGCTTTCTGACATGTCTATCAGGAATGGAGCGCAGCTACCTGGTCAAATCGTATTTGCACGAACTATAGAATGTTTAAGAATGAGTTGGTTTATGAAAAATACCTGCAGATATTATGTCAGAAGAAAACAATAACTTTAATTAAATCTAGATGCGGAACACATAGATTACCAGTTAATAAAGGTAGATTTGATGCAAATGTGGTAGATGATTTGCAATGCCCGGCCACTCTGTACACCAACAGATATTGGTGATGAATTTCATTATATTTGTGTATGTCCATTCTTTCAAAATGAGAGAAAACTGTATATACCAAATAACTTGTGTGGTAGTAGCTTAAGACCAAGTGCGTTGCACATGGATAAGGTTTTTAATACAGCTCACGCTTGCCAGCTAAAGAAATTAGCCAAATTTGTTAGAATCATTACAGTATATGTCACATTTTTCAAAAGAGTCAATTAAGGGTAGATGGTTATACTGTAAATGATAGCTCACATATAAGCAATGTTGTTAGGCACTCTCGTAGCGGTAGGAGGGTGAATTGCCCAGTTCGCCTTGATTTGTAAATATGTCTTTTGTTCATATTATCACATGTTTATCATTGTTCATAATATCACCTGTTTATTATTGTTCATATTATCACATGTTTGTCTTTGTTCATATTATCATATTATGTTTATCATTGTTCATGTTATCACATGTTTATCATTGTTATACTATTGTTATATTGATACTATGTTGTAAATATGTTTGTACTCTCATACCCCAGGAGGGGGTCGATAGAGTCTATAAAATCTAACAATCTTACCACTCGGAGCACCTTTTACCGTTTATAAATCATAACTTATTACAGAAAGGAACACTGGGGTACTGATGAGGTTGGCAGTCCCCCCCCCCCCCCCATTCAACCGTGGTAAATTGATATTTAGATACCATGGTGATTTTAAAATGTTGCTGAAATGCCATGATTTTTTTTTCTTTCTGTTGCCCCCCCCCCCAAGTTTTTGCTCATTACGCCACTGGAAAGGAATGGAGAGTATATGTTACTACAAGCAAATACTCTCTCATCTCATCTCCCCCCCCCCCCCTCTCTCTCTCTCTCTCTCTCTCTCTATCTCTCTCTCTCTCTTCATCACTTACATACTATCTCGCTGTCACTCTCTTAGATATACGATTTCCCTTTTATTGTTTAAACGACAGTGGAGACAACAGAGTAGGCCTACAGTTGAAATTTGTATAAAAAAGATGATGATTATCAAAATACCTAGGTCTATATGTAATAATGAAATGTATTAGGAAAATGTATAAATCAATAACAGGAAATAAACGTTTCCTTTAGACATATTTCTCTTAAATTGATCAACACTACTGACAATTAATCCTAATATTTTGATGGGAAAGCCTGAACTTCTACTTCTACTTCTAAGAATGTTTACCTCTTAGACAACAAAGCACTTATTCTCTAAGATCTCAATCAAAGTTTAAACAATACCAATGTAAAACAAAACGCTTCCAGTGCAGCTCTCTTCCTTATTTTATAAATCTTCTGAATAAAATGTAATACCAATATAAATTGTATTTTTAGAATTTCACAGTCCATGATTGAACTATGTGAATGAATTTTGATAGTTTTTATCTCAATTTTCTGCATTACTGAATATTTCTTGCCATTTCCCCTCATCTGTAATTATAAGGAACCCTTTGTCTGTCTCTTCCTCTCTACAACTCTCTCTCTCTCTCTCTCTTCCCTCTCTCTCTCTCTCTCTCTCTCTCTTTCGTCCCCCTTCTCTCTCTTTCTTTCTCTCCTTCTCTCCTTCTCTCTCTTTGTCATCACTCCAACTTTCCCTCTATACACCTCTCCCTATCTCTTTCTTTTTTTTAACAAAAAAATGAATTTGATCAATGAATTTTTATGAAATGTCTATATGTTTGATTATTGATTTATGTCATATTTTGTGTTATTTCAATTTGAATCGCAACTGTATTGTATATAACCTTGTGAAATGGATCGCAATTCAGCCATTGGCTGCGATGATCTTTTTAATAAAAACCATTTCTATCTATCTATCTATGGTAATACTCATCAACGCCTGTTCAGCATCTAGATGGGGGTAAAGCATAGAGTTGTTATACAGCTCTATGCAGTACAGTTCCTGAAAAGGGAACAAAATTGTTTCAAGAGCCACCTTGAACTGTTCCAAAGAAGGCAGTTCGACGATGATCTGAGGTAGCTCGTCCCAGTCCTTAAGTGTCCTGGGGAAATAAATAAATTTGTAAGTGTCCATTGAAGAGCCTAGTCTCATATATCGTTGTTGTTGACTCCTCATTGAGTCCTTGTAGCTCGCTCCCTCGGTTTGATGTAATCCGGTATTGGTATCGCAAATTTGTTATTTGCTATCTTGTAGAACATTAACAATCGTGCCCGTTTTCTTTTTACTTCAAGAGTTAGGATATTAAGTTGTTCTCGCATGGGTGTTACACTGGCATCACGCTGGTAGTTTCCACAAATGAAACGAAGTGCACGTCTTTGGATCTTCTCTAGCTAGTTGGTCTATTTGTTTATGCTTGTTGGGTTCCCATACAGGCGCGCCGGAAGCATTTTGGGATTGGGGGGGGGGGGGGGGGGGCAGAAGAAAAATCTGCATCACCATCACTCTTACACGTTACATGCAGGGCAAGCCCCAAGGAACGTTTTTCACAGTGGATTATTAACGATCAGGTAGAACGTAAAATAGCGTGGGGTCCAGGGCCTGACCCCTGGTATGGGGTTTTAGGCATTGAAATTATGGTCAGATAAGCATATTTAGATACCTTATTTGTGACACTGGCAGGTCACTAATTGGCGGAGAGTCCAGGGAGCAGAGCCCTCGGGGGTTTTAGGTATTTAATAACGGTCAGATGAGCATACAGGGGACCGCCTTAATTCCTGTTAACTTTCCTTTTCTTTGAATGGAATTTCATACGTCATTTAATTCAGGTTTTTATTATTGTTATGTTCTTTTGGGTTAAAAATACAAACCATCTTTTTTTTTTTGAGGGGGGGGGGCAAAAATGCGTTTTGCCCCCCCCCCCCTACTTTTTTGGTTGGGGGGGGGGCAACTGCCCCCCTGCCCTTTCCCCCACTTCCGGCGCCTATGGTCCCATAGACCCATACTACCGAAGCATACTCTAGCTGGGACCATACGAGAGAAAGATGTATGCCAGTTTTTTCACTTCTGTTGGACATTGTCTTCCGAGATTTCTCCGAATGAATCCAAGGGTCCTCGAGGCCTGAAATTGAAATATATATCTTTTTAATTGTCCAATTTGGCCAATGAGGCCCTATATCATAATTTTTGCTGTTGTTCATGGTAAGAAAATTGTGTCTAAAGCACAATTTGTCAATGGATTTCTATTTTAAAAATAGGAGCCTATGGCGGGGGGGGGGGTGGGCAATGCAGAAAAAAAAACTATCGGGGAGTCTTGGGAGAGGTCGCGATCATCCCTAAACAATTTTTTTTTTTTTTTTTAGAGTATAGCTGGCCCCAACAGCGTATTGGCGCCCAATCTGTTCGTCAACGTATTGTTTTAATGCATATAAACTCGATCTAGCATCGTTAATTTCTAAATACTCTCTCTCTCACTTTGCAGCTTTGCCTATTTTTTTATGAACGTACATTTAGATAAAAGACAAAGCCTTTTGCATGCCCCTCCGGGGAAGGAAGGGTCATTTGTTTTACTTCATCTTATTCATTAATGCTATGTCAGAAATATCTGAACAGTTTGTTACGTAACTATTCAAATATCACTGATGTCAGCTTTTGATAACAGAGTTGAATAACCAAATTTATTTGCTTTTTTTTAAAGGAACCCCCCCCCCCCCCCCCCTCCAAACAAAAAAGGGAATATTTAATTTTTATCATCTGACTCTCGGGTACGTGACTCTCTGAAATAGGAAGAATTTCAAAACACCAGATATAGAATCTACTACCGTCTTCCCGACTTCATCAATAATAAAAGGTCTTCTTATATGGAGGGCAGTGGCGGATCCAGCCCCCCCCCCTCCCCCTGGGTAAAAAACATGTAAAAACATGTTAATTTTTACCTTTTGGGGGAGTTGGGCCCCCCCTGATGCTTAAGAAGGGGGGGTCGCAATTTTTCAAATTTTCGAGGGCCAACAAAAAAAATTGTGCTCTCTATCCCCCCCCCCCAATTTATTGTCGTTTGCTTGTCAGATTTTAACTCTACAGTGTACTGATGTAAGTCCTGTAGGTTAATATACCCCTTCCCCCTCTCTTTTAAAGGCCGTCTGTATTAGTTTGGCTAGGAGGCATTAGACCACCCAGGGTGGTCACTGACAGGTGGCTATCTCATTAACTCAGCTCTTAATTTACATAAGAAAAACATAAGAAAAAGAGGATCATAGGGGACCAATGGTCACCGAATAGGCATTGTTTTCTATATAGAGGGAGCAAGTAGCTACAAGTACAATGGGGCTTTAATGGGGGGTGGGGGGTACTGAAAATCCTTTTCCCATCTTACAATATAAAAGGGACTGTAAAATAACAAAGCGTAT